CCCGGACAACATTGTTAACCTTTAAATGTGCATAAAGGTCAGCCTGGACAAAGATTAGGTGAACTTTTATCTAATACGTGTAGGAGTGGTAGATGCACTTTATGTCAGGTTGACTCCGGTGAGATTCTGGGAAATCCTTTTAAGCACATGCTCTCAAATGGAAGGATTTTGTAATGAAACACTGTTGGGCTGTTGATACGTGACCTAGACAGAGGAATTAAGGCATAAAGCATGTGTTTTCTATTTCAGCTGCACTTAAAATGTTCTTCACTGAAGTTCTTGAGAAAAAAATCTTATGGTGCATTACTAAAAGTGATGAGATATTACCACGTCACAGAAGTTTTTATTACTGGTGTTACATTTCATTTATAGCTTCCACTGTATATATAGTGCCACTTATCCGTCTAACTATTAATAATGGTGATAAGTAATGTGTCATTTTGCAGGGGCAATGTAGCTGTTCACAGAGCCGGTGACGAAATGTAAGGAGGGATTTTTGAGACAAAGACTGTGGTACGGCAGTATGGGGGGGGGGGGGGGGGGGGCGGGGGGGGGGGGTCTGTTTGACGTTTGTTGGGTGTTGTCTGTGTCGTACGCTACGCCATCTGCCTCCAGAGTCACATCTGGGACTGATTTACAGTGAGCTGGCCCAGAGGTGAACCCACCAAGCTGAGTGAGTGAGAGATAGAGATAGGGGCTGGTGAGGTTGGGTGTTGACCACCGGGACTTGATCAGACCCTCAGATTGTCCTCAGGTATCCTGTGAAAATAAATATCAATCATGTCCACAACTCTTGGATAGGGTTAAACTTGTATGGCTATTACCATAGATGTGGGTTGCGTACAAATCAGATCACTGTGCTTGTGTTATGCAATAACAGTTTTCTATTCCTCAGAAATCGTGAAGACATGACCCCTTGCTGCGTCTCTGTGTTCCCAAAGAGCCCCCCACAAAAGACAAAACGCAAGTGTCTGAGTAACAAATGCTTTGCAGCTGTGATTTTTGTAAATGTATTCAAAGCTAAATGTGCAAAATTTGTTGTTAGGAATAAAGTATGGTATCTGATTTTAGTAGCTTTGTCTCTTCTTGATAGGCTTTGATCTTGGATCACTTCCCTCCTAAACTATCAAGATCCAATATTGGTTCCAGCAGAGAGCTGAATTACCTCTGTATTGCCAAAAGACTCTCCGTTTACTGCACTACTTATCTAAGGCAGTATAAAAGATAATGGTGTTGCTGTTTGTACACAGTGTAAAGCACAGTACACAAATTTAAGGCATGCAGTTCTTCTGGGTTTTATAAACAACCACACACACACACACACACACACACACACACACACATGCACACACACATATATATATGTATATGGCTTTTTTCTTTCTTTGTATTCTTTGTGCTTTCACGGAAAACAAATCAAAGAAAGAGGGATCTAAAGTTGCTACCTGTTTCCTATAAGCCAGCTTCCAGCCTCAGGCCCTCATGCTGTTGGTCTCTTCTGTGCAGTTCAATAGTCATTTTCCTGCCATCCCCCACAAAGATTGTTAGGCTCTCCTGTACTGGCCTCCGCGATCTAACTCGAAACAGATGTGAGGGGAGAATCCCCTACAAACTGTGTCTGAAACAGTCAGACTTAGCTGGTCAATACACAAGAGCCACATCCGGTTAATGTACTCAGACCTCAAACATTCATTCAGAGCCTGTAAATGCCCGGAGAGTGTGACGATGTCTGGCACACTTTAAGCATTTCCACGAAGCCCCGGCTGTGTGTGTTCGCGTGTCAAAGCAAAACATATAAAAGTAGAGATGAATCATTTATTGGATCTCCTGATATAAATGAAGAATTTAATACCCAAGACACGTATTGTGCAATTGACCAAAGTACATCATATTTTATAATCTCAATCACTCCACCCATGCTGCAGTGTTTCCTTATATAATCTACTCCAAAGCTTGATGCGTCTTCGTTTTCGTTTATCTATGTGAGTTGGCTACTGACCAGGTGTTATCATCACCTTGATATAGATGTTATCATTACTAATGTTTACACAAACTTCATTAATATTACACTATAAATTACAAGAACTGTTGCCAACATTGCATATCATGCATTTTCTACCAGACAGGTTCAGTTAATAATTTATGATTGTTGTTTTACTATTGTTTTTATATGGTTATAAGGTTATGGTATTTTTTTTATGGCTATTAGGTTTATGTGGGTGTGGCCTAATGAATATTTCTGGCACTTAGAGAGTTAGATGGTATTAATCACCAGTGAAATATCAATAAATCAAAGACTGACTAACTAGACAAATATAAGTTAAAGGGTTATTGGTTCAAACCCTCAATGTGAAAATGAATTAAAGCTTGACTGAAGCTGGGGCCAAACCTCTCTTTGAGCCCATCATTTTACATCGTTGTAGTCATTAAAGAACCTTTGATCTTTGGGGTGAATCTCATTGGATAACCGTGTCAAATCGCACAGACAATTATACTTATTAATCCCTTAAGCCAGGGGAGGAATGTGGTTCTTTGGCTCTTGCCACTGATTCTCACTCACAAACTTCTACAGCAGAACACCTTGACATGAGCTGGCAGAGAGTACAAAAAAAAGGGAAGAGGATTGTACGCAATAGGCTTCAATTAAACACCATTTTCAAAATAGTTCTCCCTCAGTGTGGGCTGATGGGGTTTGGAAAAAGCAAGGCGAGGCGTGTGACTTGGCCAGACCGTCACACATTTCTTAAAAGTAGCCATGGACTGTGGATATGATGTGGTCAGAAGGAACACAGGAACACCCATTTTCATACTTCTCTGAGTCTGGGATTTTAATTTAACTGGGTGGACACATGCACACTACCTACTCCGTGTCTTTTGATACGTATGCAACCAAGTTACATGCCGGGGCACAGATAAGTTCATATCTGCCACTCTGTCTGAATAACATCGTACATAAATCGACATAAACCTGTCAGTCGTTTCATTTATTGTCTTCATTAACAATTAATGTTGCCTTGGAGTCAGTTCAGAGCACTTGGAGGACCTTTGCACCACAGAAGCAGTAGGAACTATAAAACTGATAGGGGTTTAAAAGTTACAGTATAAGAAATAAAACTGAATTATTGGGCAGTTGTGAAATGAGTTTATTTTTTTATTTATTTATTTTTATTAAGACTTTAGAAATCAGAGCGTTTACCATTTCACCAGATGGTCACTACACAGTTGCAAGAACTCATCAAAGTATATTTTTATGACAGGGACTAGCAAAATTGCTTTTCTGGCCACATAACACAACAGGAACTATTCACATACTCATGGAAGTGGGGATCTATTCACAAAGAACTATTTTCCCACCAAATAAACAGTCATTTTTCCCCATATGATTACAATTTAACAGCCCACACCATGGAGGCTATATTTTTGATAGCGTTGTCATTCATCCACCAAGGTCTTCTGGCTTAACTTGATGATTTATTGGTTGAAAACTGAATGCTTCTTGTTACCAATGCAACTTTTAATCTAAAAAGAGTTTTATCAACAATTTTAAAAAATGCTAACTTTATTAACAAGCTGAGCTGCTGGAGCGCCTGTGACTCAGGATGACTCAGGAGGTAGAGCAGGTCATCTACTAATTGAAAGGTTGGTAGTTTCTCCTGGCTGCTCCAGTCTGCATGCTGAAGTATCTTTGGGCAAGATGCTGACACTTCTACACGACATCGTCTCAGCCAGGCTATGTGCTAAAATCTCAGTTTCTGCAAGAAATTACATAATTATGGATAACTGATGTAAATATACCCTGGGATAGCAACTGGTTTTGTTTTGTTTTGTTTTGTTTTGTTTTGTTTTGTTTTGTTTTGTTTTGTTTTGTTTTGTTTTGTTTTGTTTTGTTTTGTTTTGTTTTGTTTTGTTAATCTTGACTATTCCGTACATTATTTGTAACATTAAGTGCAGAAAAATATAAAGCTTTATTGACATTTCTGAAGAACTCAACTTGTCACCTTTCACTACAACTGCAGGTTCATCAGGAAAACGGATTAAAGTAGCTTGAGTCACTGAATGGATGATTAGCTATGATAGAACTATAATTACTGGAGTGTTACTGTTTAGCTATTACACTATTCCAACTGTAGGATATGCAATCAGCCGGATTAGGACTGCAAGTCCAGTCCGAATACACTGACCACAAGGTCTCTAAGGAATCCAAGAAAGCAAGGTTTACACCTACAAGGGAAGAAATGTAAGGAAACCTGCAGCTTTAGCGCTTGAAGAAGTAAAAGTTGTTTTACAAAGAAGCAATGGACGCTACACACTCATAACAGCTAAAGAAAAAAACAGTGATCTCTGAAGCATGTAGACAACATTCCTGACATGCCATATTACTGAATGAATGAATGAATCACCATTCTTGATAATGTTCTATTTTTGCTTCTTTTAAGTAGACACCCTTACACAATGGTCCTTAATGCAAGTTTTTCAAACACCTCGTTATCACGAACTGTGCCGATTGATTCCTGAGTTTCTGCTAATTCGGGGATAAGTACAGAAAACTAGACGTCATTTTAGAGTAATGCGTGGTTATAAACGGATCCCTGTTTAAAATGTTTAGTCTGGATTTAAATCGATTCGTTTTTCCATTTAAATAGATTAACAAATAGATTTTTTTTTAAAGCCTGCATGCTTCAGTGATGGCGAAGGCCTGATTCTTCATTCAGAACCAGAAGTGTCGTGAAAACTGTTGAAGCTGAATTAGAGAAGGCAGGGCCCCACCTTACCCAAATGCATAACTAAAGAGAAAAGCCATTATTATTATTCACACTGTGGTCAAAGTCTACAAACTCCTGAGTCCTGCTGACGCTGGCAGGTGGGTTGGGATAAAACCAAGTTCATCCATCTTTCGACTGATGAAGTAGTGAACACCTGCGTCCGACACCAGGACGGGGTTAACAGAGCAGGCAACGGGGGAGGTGTTAGAGGAGGTGCGGCAGCCGCCTCTCCAGGATTCAGTAGTTAAATAGAGAGGGGGAGTGAACTGGAGAGCGCAGTCCATCTGGATTTAATGTAGAAGCGGTAGAAACATCACTTCGATCGGGAAATTACAAACGTTGTCTTTCATTTTTCAGCGGAGCCGTGTGCGGGAGCGAGGACGAAACTTGAACCATGTGCGGTAAGACTTATCTTCGTAAATTTGCCTTTTTTTAGAAAGATGTTGGAAAGGTTGCGGCAATTACGCACGGGAGTCGCTTTGATGGACAGTGGCCAGTGAAACTACCGATGATTTAAATGCAAGTTACAAAGCAAGATACTGGCGGACGTGTCATTTTGTCAAGGTTTTATGTAGTCACTTTGAACTGTGTGTAGTTTGAGCTCTGTTTTCGACTCTGTGTGGATTCCTGAAAAGTTTCAGACTCAGCTGCTACGTGTCAGTGTTTTTACTCACGGGTGTGAGGGACAGGTCAGAGCAGTTAGACCAGTCTGTCAAAAGATCGGTCTGTTTCATTCACAGCGACCCGCTTTTGTCCTGGGAAGGTTGAGGTGTAATACTTTTTTTTTTTTTTTATTGCTCTTAAAGAATAGCGTTTACAGTCTGAAGTAAATGTTTAACAGTTCTCCGGCCTCACCCCGAGCCTGCAAGGAAGAGGCCGATAATGCAGGAGTTTTACTTTACCCTCTCTACCTGGCTGCTACAACACTGCGTGCAATGTTTGTCCGTCAATGGCCAGCTGTGTGCCTGCGGGAGCAGAGCTGCCCGGAACATTCCTGCAAAGACACACACGCAGTCGTGTTTCCACCACTTCAGAGGACATATGCTCTAAACCTTACAACAAGTCCTTATACTACATTTTACTTACAGACTCGTTGTCGCAAAAATAAAGATCCTCTGATGATTATTCTTCCTGTAGTTGCTCATATCAGGTAGAGCAGCTTAAGTTTGATGAAGGTCATAGTGAGTCTTTATTGCAGCTTTATCTTCTTTATTAATGACCTATTAATGAAACTCACCAAGTAATGTTTTCTATCCACTGTGTGTTTCTTGATGCTGTTTGCAAGAAGTATTCCTAATAAATTGTCTAAACTAAATGAACTTTGACAGCAGTTTCAACTCTGACTGCAGCATTGAGCCTCTCAGAAGATTCAGGTTCTGTTTCTGTTTCTCTAAAAGGGATCTTTGCCTACCTGAATTACCAAGTGCCTCGCACCAGAAAGGAGATATTTGAGACGCTGGTGAAGGGACTGCAGAGACTGGAGTACAGAGGGTACGATTCAGCAGGTGAGACACTCAACTTCACAGTTAGCACACACTCCCACACCCACACACGTATACACACGCACCACAGATGCTTTTAGTTCCCCTGTATGAAATCAAGGAAACATTTCACAGAATTCAATACATAAACACTAACTAAATATATCAGGATTTGCTCTTGAACCCTTGTTTATAATATTTGCAGGCACGCAGTGAATACTGTGATCTCTATAAAGGCACAGTCTTATCCACTGAACCGCTTCCAGCACATGTAGGCTAACTTAGAAATGAAATACTCTCAAGTATAGAAGAACCAGTGTAGCATTCGATACCTGTAACTCTTAGCAAAGTGATATAAGTTACGTGTCAGCACAGCTTTCCTTCTAAAAGCATATTTGACCTACATACATTTCTAGCTGGTAGTGGTGTCATTCATTTTGCTGTCATTCCTATACCAGGTAAATACAGCGCCAGTATGGCGGATACCAGTACCCATCCTCTCAACCTCTAAAGGGAGCTGTAGGAGAAAGCAGTGCATCGTGGTTTAAAAGATAGATCATCAACACATTTTAATAACCACTGTGGTTTCAACATTCCACAATAATGAGACAACACAACAGAAACACATCTCGGAAAACTCTGGGTCAACTTCTGTGTTAAAAAATAAGCTCACTGGACCACATTCTGAATTTAGAAGATAGAAACAAAGTATGGACCCTCCAACACTAATATCTTTCCGATATTGCCTTTATAGCCCCAGAGGAAACCTATTTAGACAATAACAACTTAAGCCTCAGGTTCCACATGATAATAGTATCTGACACAGCTTCACCTACTTACAGGCTGCACAAAGATGAGGAAAAGTGGTATTTGTGCAGTTTACCACTGGATTCTTTTAAACTGTCTTAAAGCACTTTGAGTGCTCTGGAAGAGCAGAAAGCACTATAAAAGAATCAGTCCATTTAGCATTTACCAAGATCAAACTGGCCTCTGAGACACAGCCTTTATCTGCTAAGTAAGCCTCATACTTAGCAGAAAGATCCTCTTCCTCATCTTCCAGCCTACTTGCTTGTGCTTTACTTGAAGGTCCTATTAGTTGTTTTGAAGACTGATATGACTGCAGATTTTTTAGACTCTTTGAATGACACTGCAAGTTTAATCACTTACGTAAGGTCCTAGAAAACAACATTCGCCTTCATATGAGGAGTCTTGATATAATTTCTGATTCAACTATGAAATTCGAGAGATGGGACAACTGTGTGATTGTTTCGTTTTAAAGCTGAGGAATATTATCATATTGCATTGTGTCCTCTTTCTCAAGGATATGAACATTGTTAGTACTGCACTAATCTCCTACAGACTTTATTATTACAGCTCACCGCCCCCAACTTATTGCCCAGTAAACACTTAGAGCTGCTTGTGGACGGGCGAGCTCCGAGTATGTGGACTAGCTCTCCTATCGCAATCAAATGTTCCTCTATAAGCACACAGATGCATATTATATTTTACTTAATAACATCATGAAATGTTTTCATTTACATAAGCATGAAGCCTTTAAGTACAAAAAGCATTGCGCCTGCAGTGACAGTGATGAAGATTCACTTCTCCTGACTTCTAAAAAGCAAAATGAAAGTATCACCATTTACTCAGGCACTGCTTAAATAAAATCTTTTGCCTTTTAATCGTTCAAATTTATTTCAACCTTCAAAATTCCTAAGAAAGATTTTCCAAGTTTGGCATCGGGAACGATCCACTCTTTCCGGTGTCTCGATACATGCTCAATCACCCAGAGAAAGAAATCCCAGAAAGTCAATTCTGTTCATCTGAAAATGCTACATCCAGATGAACAGAATCGACTTTCTGGGACTCTTTACAGTGATTTCCATCAAAACCATTTCCCCCTCAACTGGCATAACATAGCAGCCCTCACAGGAATACCACCAGTTTCGAAAGGTGTATTTTTCTTTCTGCCTTCCTGCCCCAACACTTTTCTACAGTTTGATTGAGCTCCTCCTCCACTTCCTGCTACACATCAAACCACTAAGTCAAAAGGGAATTTCGTCATTAAATTTTATTGTCGTCTGTAAGCATGATCCGAAGCCGCAGTACCTTCATTAAAGAGAAACATGTCATGTTTGGGATAGTTGGGCTGGAAAACAATATGATCTTTTGACAGTGACATCTAACTCAGAGCCTTTCTATAGTATCCCATACAAAAAGCACACCCATACAAACACATGCTCGTATTTGTTCATCCTGTTAGAGCAGGATGAAGCAACAGAATCAGAAGGTCATTGTAAAACAAACACGCACATGCAAAATCAGAAATAGTACCTCCTATAATAACATATTGTATCTCAAGCTGCTTTGATTGTCCTAACTTATCTTGCTGCAACTCATGTTCAAAATCTTTCATGTCTTTTTGTGGTGAGCATTATTGTTATAGTGAGCACAGCATTTTGACACTTTACTGTTTGCTGCCGTTTTGTTTGAAAAAATTAGTTAACACCTCACCTCCACCCTCTCTCCCTGTTACCAGGTATTGCTGTGGATGGCCCTAGCAAGACAACAAGTGACCGAAACAATAACAGCATCTGTTTAATCAAGAAGACAGGGAAGGTCAAGGCTCTGGACGAGGAGCTTTACAGTGGGTTTCTCGGGGGGGTTTTCTGTGTCTGTTCACTTGGTTCTGATTAGCTCAAAAACATTCTCATCGTCCTCTTTAAAAGTACAAAACAATTGAAGGAATTCTGAAAAAACTTTAGCATTTGTCAAGCTTAAAAATCATCTGAATTCTTGTCATGTCAGTAACAGGGCTGGTTTTGTGTTTTTGCTTGTCCAGAGAAGGACTCGCTGAACCTTGATGAAGAGCTGTGCACACACTTTGGCATCGCTCACACCCGATGGGCCACCCACGGAGAGCCGAGCGCTCTCAACAGCCATCCTCATCGCTCTGATAAGGATAATGGTAAGATGTACTCACAAAGTATACATTTATGGGATCCTCATAGACAGCAAGTCACTGAAAAACAAATCCATAATAACTGCATGTTAATAATTAGCATCTTGCTCCTCTTTGGGGCTGGTTTTTACTTTTACATGATCTTTTTAGATCAAATCAGCTAAATAGAATAAAGAGCAAGAAAGTCTACACAGGTGTACGAATAATTAATGTTGCAGAGCAAGGATATCAGACATAAGGAAGATATAGACTCCAATCCGGACTGCTGGAAGGCTTTGGAAAAATGTGAAAGAGAAAACTTTTAACTGTATTTTCATAACTTTTGCATTTTTTCCTACCAATAAAGAGCTCCCTAATGCCATTCACACAACACAAAATAATAAAGTTCCTGTTTTTCACTACCTACTATGGAGAAAACAATCCGGTGATTTAACTAAAACTATGCGTTTTACAAATACAGGCCAGCCTGGGCAATGATCTACCACATCTTTTTTGCTAATTTTACATCTCTATAATTTAAAAAATGAGATTACTGTCTTTTTTATGTTAAAACTTGTCGGGGATTAAATGTTTCATTAACCTCCTAGGACCTGGCGTCCACATATGTGAACATCACATTCTGGGATGTCTAGACCAAAATACCTAATTTTTCTCTACAATGGGCTGATATCCACTTACGAGTGCATTATACTGACAATTTTCTATCAACATTTTAAACGAATGTCCTCATATGTTGATCTAATTTTTCTCAGAAACCAAAATTAGGTGCATGCCATGAAAGAGCTCGGATCTCAGGAGGTTAAATATCTTTGACTCTGTCGGCCTGCATTAAAGCAAAGTGAGCTGTACATATGTGAAATGAGTTTGGCATCTCTGTTGTAGAGGGTTGACGAGAGACTTTCACATGGAAGAAGTTGGGTTCACGTCCAGGGTGACGTCAGAACTCTGCGCTGGCTCACTTTTTTCTCCTTTCCATGTGAAGCACATGCAAATGCCCTCTTTGCTTATTTGGTCAGAGTTGCTTAGAACGATGAGTTGAGGACTATCTGTTTTCAAATTCCCTCAGAATTCTTCCAACTACTGCTTTAACATCCATGCCCAACAAATGAAATAAATGGTTTAAAATGAAACACATATTACATTTTGATCCCCTGAAAAAAATGTTGACTCGACTCCATAGTTCTCCCTTGCTTTAAATCATTTCACTCTAAGCTTAATACTAAAGCATTAAAAAGAAATCATTAAATTACCATGCTGCCTACCTTTTTAGTGCACAGGCACGCCTTCTATTCATGAACTGAAACCAAAACGTTTGTCCTAAGTGTGCCACGTTTACAAGTGTGTCAGTTATGTACCTTTGCTTTAGAACATGCTCATCAGAATTAGTGTGACAGAAAATTACAAAACTGACTCAAAATTTCTTTGCAAAAAAATATAGCAGTCTTATTATGTTGTTATCATTATGATAATGTATGTTTTTGCACTTGTTCGTACTCTTTTAAATTGTCCACCTTGTATTGATAGTAGTGTTGAGTAGCTGTTAAATCCAGTGCTTTGTGTTAAACTTGCCTAAGCGCATACTTAACATTGTTGTCCTAAAGGTGCAGCGGGTACATAGCTTCTATAATCTTTTCACTCTTGTTGTCTTTCTCAGAGTTTGTCGTCATCCATAACGGCATCATTACCAACTACAAAGAGCTGAAGAAGTACCTGGTACGTCATCATCTCATTAGAAAATATTCCTCTTGACGTAAACGCACTTCCTATGCTAAAGGCCTTATTGTCATTGCCATTTGTTCCATTGATTATAACACTGTTATTGTGGATGTAGATGGGTTTGGTAGTCAAGTTGTCACATCACTTAAGCAAATAAAAGAAAATATATATATGTATGTATTAAGATACTAGATGTTACAAATCTGATTGGATTTTTCTTCTAATTTTCGTCTACATAAAGAAAATATGGACTTCAGTCTTAAGTCAAAACTTTAATCTGTTCCACATTAATTCTGTTGAGGTTTCTGAGCTACTGAGCATGCGTGTGTTGCTGGAAGATTCATTAAATGCTTTTAATACAGAAACAGTTCAACAGTGTGGATTAAATTAATATTAACTTCTTTTTTTTTTGCCTTCCTCAGATCAACAAAGGTTACGAGTTTGAGTCAGAGACAGACACAGAGGTGATCCCGAAGCTGATCAAATATGTTTATGACAACAGAGAGAATGACAGCATCACTTTCTCCAAGCTAGTAGAGAGGGTGATTAAACAGCTGGTGAGTTGCTCTCATAGCAGCAATGCACAATGGCCTACTTCATGGCTTCACAGATGCACTCTTTTGCTTTCTTCTCCAGTTTTTGCTTCAGTTTAAGCAGTGGAAAAGTTTTACAGCGAGTTTGCTGGTAACCATGAAGGCTAAAAGACTGTCACTGAATGTCATAAAGTGTATCCGTGACGGTCATACACTCATGTACTTATTTTACTTGTTGTGAAACTGCTTAGATTTCCTGTCCATTAAAAAACACGCTCCATTACAAACACACATGCTATGGCAACCGCCTGGACAGCATCATCAGTGACATCATTAGTCACAGAAAAAAGGGAAAAAATAAAATGAAATAAAAAACGTCAGTTTTTAATCATGTGAGTAACGCTTTAATGTCACAGTCGCAGAGTAGAAGAACAGAGGAAGTATAGGCGGCCATTCTGAGTAATGGGAACCAGACGGTTGAGATACCCACTAAAAAAATCCCGGATCATGACACCATCCCTTCGCCCTCTACTGAATGCTTGCTTACCCACTATCCACCCACCCATCCTTCAACCCCCACCCCATATTTCACCACCACAGCCACACACTCAGCCAGTTTGGCTTCAATAACCACCACAGGCAGACTTGAAGTCAGTCCTTTCGAAACACAGCTGATCTTGTACAATAGGGGTCTCTTTTCTTTTAACCCCCCCAGTTTCCACACACACACTCACCACCTTGCACCTTAACATCCCCCCTCCAACACATACAAACCCACATGCGCACACACATGTTTAAAACCCCGTAGGGCCAGGAGAAACATTTGTTTGTGCTCTGTGTCTCTCAAAGGTCCCACACTTTCCTGGAATGGTTAATTGACTTTACGTTAACTTTTCGAGATGTTTCTTTTTATTTTATTTTGATATTGTTATTATTATTATCCTTCTTCCTCACCCTTCGTTTCTTCATCATTTATTGGACTGAATTATTTCATCAAGCTTAACTGAATTATTTTTTCCCATTGCTTTTTTCCTGTGTTATAGGAGGGGGCCTTTGCTCTCGTGTTTAAAAGCCGTCATTTCCCCGGAGAGGCCGTGGCAACCAGGTTAGTATGCACGCTCTGACGCACACTCAGTCACACACTGTCTTTCACACATACCGCCCAGGAATATGAACCAGACTCACTGGGAGTGACTCATTCCTGTTGTTACCACAATAAAGCAATACAATATGATTTTAGGAGGCTCCTTAGATTTATGTGTTGTGGCTTATCTGAGCTTACATTTACTATGACAGGACTCTGGAACTTCCTTTATTTATAATAGTGGATATATGCGCTGAGGAAATTCTTGTTCGGCTATGTGTGAGTACAACCTGCATCTTAGGACCAGAGACTGAATTGAGAGCCTCCCCTCCCTTCTGGGCCCCTGGCCCTGGGCCACCTTCTCTGTAATTTATTAACAATGAGGGGTTCGCGTTTCAGCTCCAGGAAATTTGGCTGGGTCGCATGAAACTCCAGGTTAATTGTTTCTCATCAGTTTATTCATACCTTTCCTGGTTCAGTGACCCTGTCAGAGATCAGGGAAAAGGCAGCACACTGGAGTAAGTTAAGAAGGAAGAGAGAAATGAGGATGGCGGCAAAATGAGAAGCACCATGTTTTTAAGATGAATTTAAGATGAATCTCTGCTGTCTCAGCTGTCGCCTGCGTTCTAAAAGCCGATATCAGTATAACGCATGTCATTGGCCGTACTCGATGTATTTTTGTGGTTTACATGTTTAACAATCAGCATTGTCTGCCAAGACAGAGGGAAAAGGGGAATGTTTTCAATTATCTAGTGATGCTAGACACCACCCACCCTTTGCCATCATGGATGACCTTCACAGCGAAACTTTTACTCTCACAACCTCGGCTTTGCTTTCTGGGACTTTGTTCTGCCATTTCCACTCGTGTCTTTTATTTAATACAAGTCCCTGTCATACCCTGTTGAAGGTGTAGCATTGCGCCATTTTTCTGCCTCACCGGTCTCTGAAACAGGCACTTTATTGTTGTGCCTTTCAGCCTGGAGAGGAAGTTGTAACACTCTGAATCTAACCAAATCCGAAAGTAGATCCAGCACCATTCCATGCAGATGCTGTTGTGTTAGACGTCACACCCCTCTGATTCTGCTATGCTTGCATGCCATACACACTAGAGTGTGCTTGGTGTGGTTTAGTGTAAACAAGCCAAAGTGGTCCTTTAAACATCTTTATCATGATAAGGCTCTCCGTTGATTTCACTTCTTCCCATCTCTCCCTTCTTTGGCGAAACTACAATATTGTACTGGATGGCCACCACATGTTTCTGTTTGCAATCCTCCATTTTCAAGCCCCACGCCTCTTAAAACAACCATCGTGCTTACGTCAGCACAGCCCCAGAGACATGCGAAGCAGAGAGAAAAGATGCAGACAAGAGAAGGAGGAGAAGTAAGGAGAGGCCTTTAGAATACGGCTTCTTAACTCACAATGAAGTGGTTTTGTGTTGACACACTGTTTGCACTGCGATCACTAAAGTGCGTGTAAAGGTGTCTCCTGTTTTAAGCTTGGCATCCTCACACCTTCCTCCCCCACCTGTGATACATGTTTACACTTTCTCTGCCTCCTGAGCCAATAAGAGACGTCCACATGGCATCAACGGCCAATATGGATCCAGTGACTTGTTCCAGGAACAGTCAAGCAGTCTTGGAAATATGTACAAAATATGGAGGACTAATGTTGAACACACTGAATGTGCAGTAGTATAAGCAAGAACAAACTAAAAGATTTCTTTAATATTTTGCTTTGTTTAGAAGTATTATAGTAAAGAATGTCAGGACATGTCCTGCAAAGCAGACGATGAATGTGAAACCTAATCCTTCTCCCATCTCACCCCCCCCCCCCCCCCCCCCCCCCTCCCATCTTGGCAGGAGAGGAAGTCCTATGGTCATCGGTGTGCGAAGTGAGCATGAGCTGCTGACCGAGCACATCCCCGTGCAGTACAACAGTGGTGAGCTCTATTCCTCTTTTAGTGCCATATTCACTTACACTGCACCCTAAACCTGCCCGTCTAGAGCAGGGGTGGGCAATCTCAGTCCACGAGGGCCGGTGTCCCTGCAGGTTTTCGATCTCACCTTGGGTCAACACACCTGAATCACATGATTAGTTTGTTACCAGGCCTCTGGAGAACTTCAGGTCATGTTGAGGAGCTAATTTAGCCCTTTAAATCAGCTGTGTTGGTTCGAGGACGCATCTAAAACCTGCAGGGACACCGGCCCTCGTGGACTGAGATGGCCCACCCCTGGCCTAGAGTCTAACTGTAGATATGAAGATTTACTGCACGATAGAAAAGTGGGACATGATGAAATATTTGGAATGTCAAGATAAACGCTCTGTTAAATTATCTAACATGATCTCACTCCTGCTGGTTATCATATGGATATCTGACCCCTATAAGGAAGCAGTTGTAGTTTTATTGTTCAAGGAAGTTTCAACTGACTGGGACAGTCCCCCTGAAGCAATTTGCTTTTTTATAACAGAGCTGTGAAGTTTAAAATATAAATATCCCCCCCCCCTTTTTTTTTAAGCAACGCTATTTCATCACTGCTTAAGAAGCATCTTAAGAACTGTGTGGTAAAATTCTTACCAATTTAAAGCTTGAAAATGTTTTTTCTTCATGATTCTAGTACCAAGTTTAAATGCTCATTTAAGGATGAGGTGAAAACCCAAACCATTAGCAGCATTTTCTTACTTATGTGTGTTTCTCAGTCCCAAGGTTAGTCAGTCCAATTTAATTTAGCTAAACCTGTATAAATATTCTGAGCTCATACGTTTTTAATGCTTTCTGTGACAGTTTGGCACTGTCATTCTGAGCAAACTCATACTGGAGCAAATATTTGTTCGGCCTTGCTCTTAGCCACTAATAAGATGCACTAGTTAGTATTTATAGCAGCAGGACGGTGTATTTGGGACAGAGTCAAATTAAGATACAACGCCTATGTTTATGTTTAAAGAAGGTATAGAGATTGGTTCATGTATAGCCTACAGAAACAACCCCACACTCTCAAAATAATTTTCCCAGCTACTGTCAAAGTAATACCAGCTTTCCACTTTTTACTGTAAAGTAATAATAAAATAAAACATTTCTTCCAGTGTAATAGGGAAACTATGTGTCAAGTTTTAAAGGCAGTGATGTTTTGGAAATTGAATGACATCTTGAGAAACATTTAGTTTAACAAAATTCGAGACTTCCCCAGTTTGGGTCCAAACTTTTTGAAACCACCCACCCTGGTGCATTCACTGACTCTAGTGGCGTATTCACATGATAGAGTGTCCACTGTTAAAAAACCCCAGTCCAGTGAGAGCAGCGGGAAGGCTGACCACTAGTCCCTATGCTCCATGAGTAAGAATAACACCGATGTTTAATCTGAGCGTGAGTTCTGCCAGGCTGTGGAGTGAAGCTCAGCCGGCCATATCAGGTCAGCTAATCCACATCAGATCAGCTGATGTGGATCTTTCTCATTTGCAATTCTCATACGTGCTGTGCTATTTAATATATTTTGGGGATATATACAGTTGCAGCCTCTGCAAGCTGCTTTGCAGACGCACCTTCACCCCAACTCCTCAATTTCACGGTATTCTCACTATTTCTGGCTTCATTATTGTGACTGCTTCTGTTCTGTGAGTGGGTCCTGCTGCTGCTGCTGCTGTTCCTGCTTTCCCCACCTCGTGCTTTCCACAGCGGCACACGAAAGAGCAGGGAGATCCTGGATACAGAGCTAAATATAAATGACTGTAGTTTGAATAATAATCCCATTTTGAATAAAGTGATCCTGATAAAGCTTTTGTCAGGCGTTGTCAAACCACAACAGGGATTTGTTAAAAACTACTGCTGATCTCATTTAGACACTCCCAGTCATTGCTGCTGAATGAGAGATGTTGAAGCGTGCTGAACTGGTATTACTTGCCTGGCTATAGCAAACTGCATTTTGGTGTAGCCAGGCATGAGTTTGATTTTAAATTGGCATGATGATTCAGGTGGCTACATTGGTTTATAGTGATTGCTTGGCACAAATTCACACAGCCCTTCACCCACAGAACCTGCAGATAGTGGAGGGAACGAAGAGGAAAATGTAGTGAGGTGTTACAAAGTGATCACAGTTTGAATGTCTAAAATCTAAAACTTGAAGTATCTTTTTTAAATGTCCAGATATTGAATCTTACAAAGAAATCCTCAGCTGCTACGATCACACCGCCCTGCTGGTGTTCTTTCTTTCTTTCTGTAGACTGTGTCCGCAGTATCTTATCTATCTGCGGTTGTTAATGAAGGCATCCAAAGTTCAAGGCAGAGGTACTTCCAGGGCAGGCACTGAAAAGCTTAGTATCGTGTTTTAAATGACCTCAACAATGGCGTGATAAGTCCTTTTTGGGTCATTTATTTACATATACCATTACATATAAGATATTTTCTAAATTTAGTGACTCAAATTTAAATCCCCAGATTAGCTAAAAGGCAAAGATTAATTTATTAACCAACCATATTAAGTACAAAATCTTTGTTTCAGTTCGTCTGTTGTTCACTTTAAATGTATAAAATTTCTCTTTTTTTAGTTTCAAGCCTTGTCAGAATTAGAAAACGTCCCAGCCTTAGCAAGCCCCTCTTCAGCTTAGAAAAGTAACAGACAGATATGAGTAAAAAAGTCAGGTATACTTGGAAATTAACAAATTATAGGCTGATTTGTTTGTAGAGGCATGAATGCATACTCTGAGTAGATTCTGAGTATGTGTATAATGTGAGGAGGAGGATGGTTTGCCTCTGCAAATAACCCAGTCTTAGGTACACAATAAGACTTCACAGATGGAAACCACTCTTTCACCCTGCATAAACACTTTGTGTGGGGCTTCAGCAACCCTCAGCAAATTTGTGGGGGTTTTGTTTGTTTTTTTGTTTCTCTGCATACTTTTGAATCTTTTGATTTGCGATAAAAAAACAAAAACAGTATCTTTTCGAGCTGCAAAGCCACTCTACTTCTCGACTTTGCAATGTGCAGTTTTCTAATGCTGAGAATGTAATGTTTGCTGAATAAAAGCGACTTTCAGCTGCTCCCTTTTCACAAGGGGGTCGTCACAGCAGGTAGCTCCACATGTTTGCTTTGGCAGATTTTTTTTTTTTAACACCAGATGCCCTTCCTGACACCGCCCCAGAGGGATTTGTGTCTCCTCCCTGTAATCAAACAGGACAACTTTTGTGTATTAGGCAAACGTGTAAACCACAAATGAATAAACAAAGGAAATACAGTGATACAGACTCCAAGGATACAGGCAGAAAATCCAAGATATTATTAAGTAAGCCATTCTTTGCACAGAAGCAAACAAAATCCAAGATAAGTCTAGTCGTAAGAGGAACTTGCTTGAAACTTAATAAGTAATAACAACAAGGATAAATGGCTGGGTATGTTGACTACAATTAGTAAAAAGACTAAATGGCAAAAACAGCAGCATGTCACTGAACCTTGATTTTTGACTTCTGACCTGCAGCTCAACACAAGGAGGAAGTCCATGAGAAGAACAGTCGCAACCGAGCTGACAGCTCCAGCGCCATCAACTCTGTGGGGGATGGCAGGGCTGTGGAGTTCTATTTTGCTTCTGACGCCAGGTGAGGCCTCTTCTATGTGACTCAAAACGCAAAAACATAATATTACTAATTTATATTACTCATTCATTTCTTTTCCCCAAATGACCTTTTCTGTCTACCCACAGTGCCATCATTGAGCACACCAACAAGGTGTTGTACATGGAGGATGATGACATAGCAGTAGTGACCGGAGGGAAACTCTCCATCCACAGAATGAACCGGCAGGCCGGTGAAGACCCAGTCAGAGCTATCATGACCCTGCAGATGGAGCTGAAGCAGATCATGAAAGGTCAGAAACTATTTGAAATTACTTTGTGGCTCTTAGGTAGCTAAGTTCAAATTGCAAGTACTGTGCATGCAGTGCAGCACATGCTCGCCCTCTGCTGGCTGAATGCGTGCAAACAAAGCCACAAGACAAACGCCATGCATCCTTATTTCCTGTCTCACTTCTTATTAGGAAAGCATTCAGCATGTCACGGTGTGTCAGAGAATGTGATGGTAATGTATGCCCCTGTTGTCCTTTGCAGGAAACTTTGATGCCTTCATGCAGAAGGAGATCTTTGAGCAGCCGGAGTCAGTAGTCAACACGATGAGGGGCCGCATTTGTTTTGACACCAAAAAAGGTGACAAGTGAACTGATAGCCAGTCCTATGTTCTAGCATGTCCCACTACCCTCTAATGTAACTGGGAATTTTAAAGAAAATGACTCTCAGATATAAAAACATGTATGTTATGATCGCTACAGCAAAAAACGTGTTTTTATGAGCCTTATTTACCTCCTAAAATGCACTATTTAATAACTGCAGGCGGTAAACACATGATGACTGGGCACTAAAGTGTACGACAGACATTAGTTGTGATGCAGTGAGTGATCAGTAGGTCTAACTGTTTCACGTTCTGTTCTCTCAGTTGTTCTCGGAGGGTTGAAGGACCACCTGAAAGAAATAAAGCGTTGCAGACGGCTAATCATGATCGGCTGTGGCACGAGTTTCCACGCTGCGGTGGCTGTGAGTACAGCAGTTACATCGTTATTTTAGCTTGTATATGCTTGATGATGGCATTTTGCAGTAAAGAAGGCAATCATTAGTAACAGACGAGTTCAAAGAATTAAATTATTGTATGGATAGAGTGTAGCAGTGTTAATTAATCCTCTGTTTTTACTCACTTACTCTACAGACCAGACAGATCCTCGAGGAGCTGACGGAATTGCCTGTCATGGTGGAGCTGGCCAGCGACTTCCTGGACCGTATCACACCTGTTTTCAGAGATGATGTTTGCTTCTTTATCAGCCAGTCAGGTGATAATGTTGCACAATAGCACTTTTTTATCTTCACTTTCCTGAAAGTGGCTTTAGAAAGAAAAGCTTTATTTACACTATAATTTCCTGTGTGACACCTATCCACGTTCAATGCCTTTTTCATTTTTTCCTGAAACAGGAACATTGTTGTGGTTTATGAACATATGTTTTCATTCTCTGTGCTCCTTAGGAGAGACAGCAGACACTTTGATGGCACTGCGCTACTGCAAAGAACGGGGAGCTCTGACAGTTGGTGTAACGAACACTGTTGGCAGCTCTATCTGCAGAGAAACCGACTGTGGAGTCCACATAAATGCTGGGCCCGAGATAGGAGTGGCTAGCACAAAGGTATGGCTGGTTTATGGTCTATACTTGTCTCGACTGGTTTTACCCCCAACCGGTTGTGGCAGATGGCTGCTCCTCCCTGAGTCGATTCTAAATTGGTGGGTTCTTCCTCATTGTTCAGCACAGGGGGGCTTATAAAGTGTTTCTGTGTGTGTGTGTGTCTTATCCAGGCTTACACCAGTCAGTTTGTCTCACTCATTATGTTTGGCTTGATGATGAGTGAGGACAGACTCTCCCTACAGAAGAGAAGAGAGGAGATCATCAACAGCCTCAAGATGCTACCTGGTCAGTACCCCAACAAATCTTACAAAAAGGCCTCTGTGGATTCAAAATAAGTATTTAGATGTGGAGATTCAAGCTAAACAACATTAATGCATCGTTCACTCATCGTTCTTTTACTCTCTTAGAACTGATAAAGAAGGTGTTGTCCCTGGATGAGAAGATCAAGGCCATTGCCAATGAACTGTATCAGCAAAGGTCTCTTTTGGTTATGGGTCGAGGTTTCAACTATGCCACCTGCCTTGAGGGGGCACTGGTGAGTTACAAAAAAGCCATAATATCAGTCGTAAAATGAGTACAGTGGAATTAGGAATCAGGACATGTTATATAATCCTTACAGGGAAATTGTTTTGTAACAGTTCCTGAAATAAAAGCTATACTAAATAATGACTAACAAAATTATAAACAATCAAATGGCAACACTAAAAGAAGTTATGTAACTAGATGGCCATAGGAGTGATGTTCAGTGGAGCATTTAGTCATTATTAGTCTCTGGCTGAATGTGCACCTCTGGCTAACCACAACGCTGTGTAGAGGGAAGGGAACATTGTCTATGATGCAGAGGAGTTTTGACAACAGCTTCCTCTCTGCTACTACATGTAGACAGTCCAATTCCACCCACAAGACTCAGCCGAGTTTGAACAAGTTTACTGGGTTTTTCGTATCATGCACCGTCAAGCCTTTTGCTCTAATTTATCACAACACAGAAAAAAAGTCTAATCATCAAAGGCTCAGGAAACGTCATCAACACTGTGACATTTACGATGAAGGAATAGCTTATAAAAGTAGTCAGTAGGTGACTGCGTCCAGGATCTGTTGAAGAAATCATTCAGCACTGGCTCTGTTGATGTCCCCATCTACATTTCGACTTCCGGCCTTGTAAATGAACCGGTTCTTATATAGCGCTTTTCTACTCTGTCTGAGCACTCAAAGCGCTTTATACAACTAATTCATTCACCCAATCACACCCATTCACACAAGCACTTCTTCTAAGGTCTTAAGTGCTAAGTATCCAACATTCATACACATTCACACTCTGATGGATGCATCGGAGAGCAACATGGGGTGAGTATCTTGCCCAAGGATATTTAGCATGCAGACTGGAGCAGCCTGGGATCGAACCACCAGCCTTCTGGTTAGTGGCTGACCTGCTCTGCCATGCACCTGAGCTACAGCCACCCCTTGTAGCCATGGACAGTCCACATGCTTTTCTGTGGTGTTCCCTTGTCTATGATTCACTGAGTGTTTTAGATGTTTTTAATCTCCTTCCTGTCACCTGACATGAACACCCTAACATCTTATTTGCCACTCTCAGATTTCTTTCATTGCCGAGGCGACGTTGCATCTGCATGTCCTTCTGATTTCTGGGATATTTGTTGTTGAGCTGATAGCTGTGTGGGCTTGCTTCAGTATCATCAGCTGGTCCCTGATACAAAGAGTGTAAGCATGTAGCTGATGGGCAACAGTATTGTCCTTGAAAAGAGCACACACGCAGAACAGAAGATGTCTAACTATCATATAATCCAAACAAGTTTAAGGAAAGAATATAATTAAGTTGAAACCGCATGAGAAAAAGCTGCTCACACAGCTTTCATACCATGCAAGGAATGTAGGCTGTGCTGTAATTTGTCTTCATTCTTACTATTAATCTTCATCCTAAGCAAGTTTTACTATTCTTATTCTGATGCAGAAAATTAAGGAGATCACTTACATGCACTCGGAGGGCATCCTAGCTGGGGAGCTGAAGCACGGTCCTCTTGCACTCGTTGACAAACACATGCCAGTCATCATGATCATCATGAGGGACGCTTGCTACACAAAATGCCAGAATGCTCTGCAGCAAGTCACCGCCAGATCGGTAGGTCTTTAACAAAACACATCTTACACATCCACCCAAGGCACACACTCAAAGTACGACAAACAGACACAAATACTAAATTTTGAAAGTCCCAAGTACAACAGAAATGAGTGGACAGACAGACTGATGTTAATATTCTTGCCCTCTCGATGTCTGTCTTCATCAGGGTCGGCCCATCATCATCTGTTGCCAGGATGACACTGAGTTGACTAAGAATGCCTACCAGACCATCGAACTGCCGCAAACTGTGGACTGCCTGCAGGGTATCCTCAGCGTCATCCCTTTGCAGCTTATGTCATTTCACTTGGCTGTCCTCCGAGGATATGATGTAAGTATTCAATGCAACTGTTGGTTTGATTATTGACAAGAGTCCTAGGAATAAAGAAATCATCATGACCAAATCCTCATATTTAGATATATAATAGATATCCATAAAGACTAATAATGGGCATCGTTTTAGCAAAACACAAGCACATGCACAGTCACTGCGATGTCTGTAATACCTCAGTAATCACATATTGATGTTAATATGAGATTTATAGCAATATTGATTTTGTTCAAATTCACCCAATGCTAAGAGCAGCTAATTATGAATGTAATGTGTGCTTCTGTAGTTGGGTTTTCAAATGCTTGCAGTGGAATCTATTTGCATGTGGATTTGATGTTGTCACACATTCATTTCAATTCCACACTAACACACTAAGATACTTCATCTACTTCTCTGATTTAAAACTGATTTAAACTGATTACAAAACTTAAATCTAATGGTACAGTCATGGCACTCGAACATGTGCAGAAGAAGATTTCCTTGAAAAAGACAGTAATGGCAGCCAGCATGTGTTCTTCTAAGCTTGTACATACGCTTTAGGGATAGTGGTGCCCATGAATACCAATGCTTCGTCCATGTCTCTGGTTCTGCTTGTGTCTATTCATCTTTTCTTTCCTTGTGAATGCTTTACTTTACTAAGAAGGCAGCTCATGTTCCCTACTCACCACAGTGCAAACAGACTTTATCTGTCAGAATTGTGAACTCTTTATTTACAGTCCATGATCACAACAATGTACAATGTATAACATTTATAGCCAAATCCTTATTATGGCACATCTTTACCAGGATGCAATTGTTTTACCATGTACACTAATATAATGAGTTGGGAAATGTGTTATCAAAAAAAAAGTTATACAGTGCTGCTAAATTGATCATGGAGAATTTGTTATAACAAACTTTCTTTTCTTTTTTTTTTCTTTTTTTTTAAAGGTTGACTTTCCCAGAAACTTGGCCAAGTCTGTGACAGTGGAATAATTACAGTTCACAAAGCCCTGGAGAGGAGAGACAGCTCTTTAGGAGATTAACAGTGCAATAGTGCAATCAAACATTAAGTGTGTGTGTGTGTGTGTGTGTGTGTGTGTGTGTGTGTGTGTGTGTGTGTGTGTGTGTGTGTGTGTGTGTGTGTGTGTGTGTTGAATTGGGGGGAGGAGAGAGGGGTATTGTCTATTGTACAATGAACTTGTAAAAGAAAAAAAAGCCAAATGTGAAATCAGACCAATACACTGCTGAAGAATGGCCGTGGTATCACTTGATGAGGCCTTGCAGAACAATCTATGAAAACGACATTCACACAGCTGCTGTGCCTTTTTCTAGTCACGAGATGAGCCAAAACCGTGTAAGAAGTTTAGCATTGAAATGGTATACTGAAGTGTTTACAGTTGTGCAATACGGGGACCAAATGTGCATTATGAATGTACACAATCATGAGGTGATTGATTCAGAACTTCTATTTTATGAGTTTCGTATGTCCACCGGGGGCTGCATACCTCTAGGCTGCAATATCATGAAAAGTCATAAAATCACTGTGCCTGGTGGGCCAGTAACCCATAACTTTGTTTTTTGTTTTTTTTTGTTTTTTGTTTTTTAATTTCATCTTAATATAAAATATGTCATCTTTCTGTTCTGTTTCACAGAATTCCAATTTCCCCCGCCCCCCTCCCTCCAAAAAACCCCCTTCCTTACTTATAGGGTTGAGCATTTCGATAAATTAAAAAGCACTTATGCAGCAAAAACAAATAATATATCATAACTTTTAATAATAATTGTTTTCTTTTGCTTTTTTGTTTGTGTGTTGTTTTTTGTTTCAGGCATTTGAATGGGTTTATAATGATTCTAATAATAATATTCTGTATTTGACTGTTTTTTTTATTATTATTATTATGGGGAAGACTGATAAAATTGGAGTTGTATCTTTAACTATGATTGTGTTTTATACTGTATCTTTATAGACAAATGGGAACTGCCAATCAATAAATTGAAAATTCATTCTGTTCAAAAGGTTTACCTGTCTGTTCATTCCCCCCACCACATCCCCACTCTAATATTTATGGCTAGTTATTGATTTTGTCTTGTGCGTCTTTATTTGTGCCCTCATAGGATTATTAGTATTATTTTGTTTTTTTGTAATTTTTCAAAACACATACATTATTACATTAACCAATCACACGAAGAAGAAAAAGTTTTCCAAGTTTTCCGAAGAAAAAAAAACTTTGCGCCCACGTAAACTCTGCGTGATGACGTCATGCTTGTGCTGGGTCTCTGCTTGTTGTGGCGTTCCCTTCCTCCGCACCCGTCCGTCCGTGCTGCCGCTGGAGTTAGCTAGGAACTAAAGGAAGGTCTGTCATTCGTGACAGCCGGGCCGACCGTCCTTTTCAACTTTTCCAAGCCCAGGTTGTGCCTGAGGAGCTCGGGGGGTGTTTTATCTATATTTTCGATGCATGGGAGTGCCCTGGGAGAGGCGAAGGGAGAAGGTAGGTCTCGCCGCAGCAGCTGCCTCCTGCTGCCCGTTCTCTAGTCCGCCGGAGCTTACAGTTCAGCCTGACTACCGCATTGCTGCCCACAGAATTGAAAAACAATGGTAGTGTAGGCCCTGCTAACTTCGTACCTTTACTGAGGTTTTGGAAAGTCAGATGTCGTTAATGCTGGTGTAACTTTAGCTGTGTAAACCGATGGTTTCTGACTGTGTTAAAGCACCGAGTGCCAACAGTGCTGCGGCCACGGTGTGTCATACCCGGGTGACTTCATACCTCACTGTGTGTGTGTGTGTGTGTGTGTGTGTGTGTGTGTGTGTCTGTTGTAGAGCAGGCGTGTGGCGCTATGAAATGCTAAAAATTCACGTCGTCTAGCTGTCAGTGCGCATACCTTACCCACAGAGCCTCGAAAACACACATGTAGCCCAAATTAATGACATTTGTGTAGGCCTGCTCACAAACCTTAACCACAGTCACCACAAGCGCAGGTGCAGATGCAATGAAAACTAAGGGGATTTTTTTTTTCACAGCCCAAGCTAGGTTTTTCTGGCATGTCATTGGCAAGGCGAGCCCGTCAGTGATTCAGCCACTTTGTGCGCACTGAACTTTTTAGTGGGATCACATGGATGTTCCGAGTGTGTCCAAGTTTGCTGTGTTTTAATTTGCATCCTTCTTCTTCCCCGGGAGACTGCTCTCAAAGACTAATTTGGTGTGTCTAGTTCAGCAGCAGTAGACTCCCGTGTAGTTTTACCCATCCCTGCTGTGTTTTGTAACTCTGCTACATCGAGATGAGATGCTGAGGCTTCAGGCCATGCTAATATGATCTCATAGCCAGCTCACTGACTCCCCATCTTAACTCCCAAGTCTAGGCCACGTCAGACCCCCAAGCCTGGACTAGACTGAACTGAACAGTCACTGCCACGAGCTTTGGTTGAGGTCCATGATGCTTGTGTGAAGGTCACTTCTCTCATCAACTCTTTGATCATCATACCATTGCATAAATATGGATTAGTGTAATAAGTATCATCAGGTAAGAGAAAGAGTACCTAACCCCCATCTTTTCATTCATATTCCAGATAACTGTATTCTTTACAGTTTATTTGAGTACATTTTCTCAGGCATAAAACTGTAACACTGTTTGCACTAAGAAAACATCCAGCTAAACTGGATATTCTATACTATTCTGATTCTGATAAACTATTGCTGCATAGAAAACAGTTAAAAAAATTAAATTAATAAAGCTTCCAGGCCTGAAAAGTGAAACCAACTGAGAAGTATCTTAAGCCTTTTCTTTTTTTTTTTCAAATGGCTACGTGGGCTGGTGTTTTCCGCTGTTGACGTCACATTTTCAATCTCTATAGTACACAGGAGGGTTTGTATAATAGGTAATATTCCCCAACTGGTTGATTATATTCTGCCTTGATTTATGGGAGTAAATATATATAACTGTGTAAGTGAGAATGTGTGAACAATGGCCACAAGGGCCCCGATACCAGTGTTTTCCGGTTCTGCAGAAGTTTACGGGAAAACAGACCTCAGGCTTGACCTCTGTAAACACTTTCCTGATGACATAATGAGCTCAGTCGCTCATATCTTCGATACAACATAAACTCCATTTAGTAAATTTTGGGTATTCTAATTTTCAGAAAGGAGGATCACACACGGTGTGCTTATTGAGCCTGCGGTGTCACTGTCAGACTCACCCCTCGCTTGTCACATCTCTTTTCAAAACACCAACCAGATATGACACGGCGAAAACACTCGGCTCGAGGCTTTTACTCTTACTACAAGTAACCCTTGAAGCTCTTTTCTGAACGGATTCTGTCATATTTCAGGCCTGCTTATAGAACAAAATGACTGGGTGTGCATCATTAGTGAGGTCATCGGGTTTATTGATATATACTGAGGTATCGAAACTCACCATTAAGGGTACGGGTGAGGTCATTAAATCTCGTCTTTATGTGGAAAGGAGTTAAAACAGGACTTCACAAACCAGTGGATGATGTCATAGTAGCTACGTCTACCTTTAATTCAGTCTGAGGGGAAAAATGGAGACACTGTTGATGACAGTGTTCCCTGTAAGCTTTGAGATTAATAGGCAGTTTTGTGGTTAACATGGTTTAATCATCCTTTTTAAAATAATCAACCTAAAGCAGTGTTTTGTTTGTTTTCTCTGTAGTGATTGATAAAGTGTTTTAGCAGTTTATCTGCATTCACAGGATCAGCTGCATCAGTGTCGCCCTTAACCTTGGCTAGTAATGATTAATGGTATCATTCATAAGCAGTTTGTTCTGGGATGTCTCTTCCTGTTAGTGAACCCACAGTTGCTGAGGAATCTCTGGGGAACTTTTTTCCACACGATCGATTTCCCCTTTGATTTTAAATAAATTCCTCAGAGCCTGCTGCCCAGAACTGTGGCAGGTGTCTGCCTATGTTTCTGTTTGGCTTTCTGAGCGGTATGTAGCTTTAATCAAACAGTTGTTCCCTGTCAGTGTTTGTGCTGAATCGACTTTAGAATGACCCAGTAGTTGTGACTAACCTGGCACCAGGTGACTGATGAAGCTACAGTGGTTTTGGTTATAAGTAATGGTCTCCTCAGAGCATGCTTTAACTTGATGTGTGTGTTGCAAAAGCTGCACACCAGCTCTTATATGAAAAAATATAAATATCTCAAAATGCTGTTGTCAGTGAGGCTAAAATAGTCTTTTCTGTATTTTTTAGCAGAAGGTGTTTGTGTCCTGTGGCCTAAGATCTGTGCTGTTGAGACGTGCAGTACAGCTTTGGTATTAGCATGCTGCTTTGCCTGTACCTACGTTTTACATGTATGTAAACAGAAAAGCTCAGCTTGCGTGTCAGTCACAGCAGTCATGAAAATATATATCTGTCAGGACCATCATTGGAGATATCTGTGAGGAGGCCATAGGAACGAGGCAATTGAGGGGGATGTTAGTAGCACAATAGGAAAAGGACAAAGCCAAAGAAGTTGTGAAAAACAAAAAGAATGAAGGAAGTAAAGGTCTTTGGAGTTTTTCCTTTGGGTGTAGTCAGAGAGCCAGCTGGATTTATGTTTGAAAGAGAGGAGACAGGCAGAGGAAGAAAGTAACTGAGAAGGATTCATTTTTCATCTGACTAATGGCAAGGTTGCAGATCGGTACCTCCTACACGTGAAGGCTTTTTCCAAGTGTTTGTTCATGGGCAAAAACCCCGGCCTACAAGCAGGCAAATAAGTCATAGCAAACCACAGTAGGAAATAAACAATCATATACAATGGCAAGCAGAGACGTGGACCAGTGCCATCAGTAAATGTCGCCTTATTTGTCGATAACAATGTTTGGCTGATATAGCTCTATACCAGTGCATACCAACCAGTAATATTATTTACACATAACTTTCTTTCTTCATCTCAAAATGGAAGTTAAAACTGCAAAGCGAACAATGAAAATCTACACACACACATGCACTGGAGATTATTTAGGACATGTTTGAAAAGTGTCCTTTAGTTTGAGAGTAAGAAACAATCACCAGTGGCTGTTATGCTTTACATGGCATGGAAAAGGCCCAGCTGAGGCATGTATAGGTTTTGAAGGAACTTAGTTTGATCTCCAGACAGTGATCTTTTACTGATGGCCTAGCTTAATTCAACAATGTGGCATTTACTGAGTGTGATGCAGCACAGTGGTGTGTGACCCCTTCTTCCAGCTAATTTTGAAATGTATTCCTTGTATAAAACTCAGAATACGCATCACCTTCAGGTAAATGTATAATTGAAATAATTTGCACGCTAATTCTTGATTATTGGAGAATGAACTACAATCATTAGATTTTCTTTTTGATTAATTTTTAAATAAATGTTTCCGTCTCCAGTTGAACATTTAAACTAAAGACACACACTTTGATATCTGACAGCAGTTCTCTTTCTAATTCCTTATGTAGCTCTTTGCTTATTGCAGTGACTTTAGCTTTACAGGTTTTTTTTTTTCTGGTCCATTTGATCATAAACATCCTTTATTTTTCTCGTCAGCACTTTGTGTCTGTGACCACGAAATCCAGTGATTGCTTGTCTCGCTATTCCCCGCTAAAGGCGGAAAAAAATTGGTCTGCTTTAAACTGATGACTGTCTTCTGAAGGAATGACAAACAGCCGTGACTGCTTGGTGTTGCGTAGCTACACGATTATGTGTTCTCGCCCACAGATGTATGCACATGCGCACATAAACTATTGCCAAGAAACACTTTCATATTTTGTTATAAACACTCAAACACATCGTGTAATTTATTAACACGTATGTGCTCATCCAGTGCTGATAGCTGAACGCACACTTGTAGTGAAGCTGGATGCAGTTCAAGAAATAATGAAGAGACTCAAGCTAAATGCTGCCTGTGTGAGTGTGCGTGGTATGTTCGTGTTTACTGAGGGAACTGTAAGCCGTTAGCTTTCTCTCTCCTCTGTTTTAACAAGTACACCAAACATTAAAGGCTCAGCCTTTAGCTCCAGCCTTATGCTGCTGTTATCATAAAAAATATTGGACAAACGTAAGGTTATCAATTAATCAATGAAAGCATTTAAAGTTCCATGCAAATCAAGTCAAAGTTAATCTTGGATTAGATATTTTTTGGGCCCTAACACTCAAGTTCATCTTTAGTTTTAGAAGGTTTTCAAGGTTTTTACCTCAATAAAATGCTACATTCAACTGAGCCTGTCTCTCATCTGTTAAGCTGTGCTGTGTGCTCCTCTCCAGCCCTTTTCACACACTTTGAAACGGAGAACAGAGGAGAGCGTACATGAGATTAGAACGTGGTGATATTCATCTGTTTTGTTTTCCTTTGTCCTGCAGACAGCGCTGGTGGTCCTGACTGTTCAGCAGGATGAGTGAGGCGGAGGGGCAGTTCTACAGTGTTCAGGTGGTGGACTCCACCTTCACTGTACTCAGGCGCTACCAGCAGCTGCGGCCCATTGGCTCTGGCGCCCAAGGCATTGTTTGGTAAGACAAAGAAGTTTTTTTCAGTCTTTGATTGATTAAATGGGCACAGGTTAAAACTTTAGACTGCTTTGGGAAATCTGCATTCTAACTTGCATAGTAAACAAAAACTCCTTTTGTCCCTACACCATAAACTTCCATACCATTCAAGTTAACGCGTAGTTACATTTCTCAGGAGGTGTAGGTTACGTAGAATATTGTGGCGTAGGATTAAAATGGGGTTACGGTGTAGATCTAACGCTGTATAATTCACATGTTAGTGATTGTTGCTGAATCGGTTGAGCCCCTTTGGGGTCAGGTGTTAGATAAGCTGGCTCATTATCAAGTGTCACAGCTTGCAGCGACTCTTAAATAGAGACACAGTTAATGTGATCAGTAGTGTCAGCTGTGTTTTTGCTTCCATCATGAGTGTAAATGTTGCTGGAAAAAGTACTGTTATGTCAATATCATTGTTCCAAGCTGAAAATCTCACATTTGTTGGAGCTATTGATTAGAAATATTGGCACCCTTGACTTAATTCATTATTGGCTACCTGATTATATCAAACGGAGCTTGAATTTAATTTTAGATACATTTCCCTGAATGTCAGACTTGCAGAGTACTGTGCAAAAGTCCTGAGCCATTATTTCTTTGTTTTGTTTCCAGGGAGCCAGATTTTCTGGCTCTGTTCTTGAGCAATCTTTCTCCAGGCTTTCTGAAGGTCTTCAAAGGTTTTCTTTGGAGATTGGCTGCTTTTTGAGGCCAGTCCATGTACCTGACCATTTTCAGAAGATTTGTATTTTTGTTTTGTTTTTTTGTTTGTTAAATCACTTACACCAGGGGTCGGCAACCTGCGGTTCCGCGTGGTTTGGGAAAATAAACTGGAAGTATTTACAGTAGCTGAATTTTATTTATGTTAGTTCTTTTTTAACTTGTAGTTCTAAATTGGAAGATTATTGTGATATTGAAATATAAAAATAAAATTATATTCTATTATTTTTTCATTGCTCAAAATAAGCGTCACACTTGCGGAAGCCGGTGTACCCGCCAAAACGGCGTGCATTTATCGAGACTTTCAACCCCAGGTAGGCCAATTATTGATCTTCAGATCCACATTATGTCAGCAGCTGTTCTCTATTGTGAACTAGGGCTGCTCGATTATGGCAAAAATGATAATCACGATTATTTTCACTGAAATTGAGATCTCGATTATTTGATAATATTTATTTAACAATAACAATGTGTTGAATAATGGCTTTAAAGATTGTCAAAAAATAATATAAAATAGTGTGCAAATACTGATAACAGTGCGAATGTTAGCAATATGAAAACTAAATGAAAAATGTAAACATTAATTTTTAGTGAACTTAAAAATACTGCATAATATTTATGCATACAAATAACCAAACATCAAGGCAAGCTGTGCAGCCACACAATGCACAATTGCATCAAACTGACATTGAGGTATGTCAACTAAAGTTGCTGCTCCTTCATTGTTTGATCGTATGTCACTTTGTGAGCGGTCTTCAAATGATTGAATACATTTGTAGTGTTGCTCTGTGGTGCAGCTACGACACCGTAGCAAGTTTACACACTATGTCTACTTGATCCACGTCTGACTCCACGAGCCCATAATGTTTCCACACCACTGAAGTCGTTTTACCTCTCTTTTCAACCAATGGCATTCTTTCTTCAGCAGCCATTATCCTTTCCTCTCCAGAAGTTATTTGGAGGTTAGCAGAGGTTCAGAGGTTAGCAGAGGTTCAGGAGCAGAAGTCCCATTGTAAACATACCACGGCAGAACCGACGATGTTTCCATGAACATGCTTTTCAGCACCTCTTTATAGGCCACTTTTCACACACGGTTGCTGTACACATACAGCCAGTTGTAGCTTTTCAGCTCACAGCCCGACACATACCAACACAACAGCACAGATAGCGCAGACGTCAAGGCGGCGAGGCGTGATTGCGGGTGGCGCTCAGGTGCGTCCGCCTCCCCTGCAGCGGCGCTGCAGAGCATGCCCTGCCACACACATTAACCAGGTAAAATACATATTTTACATATACATATCTTATGGGATGATTCAGTGTTGATCCCTTAAGTTAGGTGTACAAAACAGACATATTAGCAAAGAACCAATGTAATATAATGTGTGTCTTTAGGCACTTTGTTAGACAGAAACACAATTTATTCAGATTTCCTTAGTTGAGTCAATGGAAAATGACATCCAAAGAACAGCTTTGAATCTACTTAAAGAAGCCTGGAGAACTATTCCTGAAGACTACGTGGCTCAGGCTGTGTAGACGTTTAAAGATGTTCATCTCAATTTTTAACTTTCAAACTTGTTGGAATTATATATAGTCTCCCTTTCACTCATATACTGTTTTTAAATGTGTTTTTGTACATGTTTCAGTAAATCTCTGCCCCCATTCAGTTCGGGTTCAGGTTGCTTTATGGGTACAGACCCATGGGTAGATTTGGTCTGCAGTCGTGAGTCATCTATCCTCACACGCACTGTTTTATGTTGTATTCTATTAATTTGCATTGTTGTGTTATACTTTTATTTTCGTAGGTTTTATTATGAAGCACTTTGTGATTTCTGTCTGTGAAAAGTGCTATATAAATACATTTTACTGAGAGTTAAACTGCTGTGGTTTAGGTCAGCGGTCCCCAACCTTTTTTGCGCCACGGACCGGTTTATGCCCGACAATATTTTCATGGACCAGCCTTTAAGGTGTCGCGGATAAATATAACAAAATAAAACTAGTACCGGTACCGGAAAAAAGAAAATTTATTCATAACACACGTAAAAAGACCCTGGAAAACAGAGTAAACGATAAAAACGATAACAAAATAACGCTGAAAACCGATAAAAACCCTGAAAACTATACATTTCACACCTGATTATTTTCCTCTGTGCAGCCCCGATCATGTTTAAAGTAGGGTCGTAAAAAATTATATTTTTATTTTTACTATTTTTAAAATGTGAATGAAACTGAATGTGTAACTAGGAATTTTTGAATAAGCTGTTTTCTCTGGGATGCACTTAGCTTCTTCTTTGCTAACATTTGTCTCTGTCTTTTTTTTCTTTAATGAAATCTGTTGCAGCTCTGCTCTAGATACGGTCCTCAGTATACCAGTGGCAGTGAAAAAGCTGTGTCGGCCCTTTCAGAACCAGACCCACGCTAAGCGCGCCTACAGGGAGCTGGTGCTGCTCAAATGTGTCAACCACAAAAATGTAAATCTTCTTTTTCGACCTGCAATAAAATGTGTTGAACATTTGATAAAGGTTAAACCGAGGTGTGGCAGAAAAATGTTAATGTTTATAATTTCCATCTTCTCGTGTGTTGGACAATATTTCTAATATTAAGAGGTAGCCAGAACATATGTAATATAAATTTAAGTTAAAGTCATCTCCTTGGACTAAATATAACATTTCTGGTTTGGGGTAACAGAAGCCCTGCTGTGCCTTTAGTTGGGCCTCTCCAGTAGGTAGGAGAGCAACAGAGTAGAGTAACGGCTTGTCTCTCTGCTTGCAGATCATCCGTCTGATCAATGTATTCACGCCTCAGAAGTCCCTGGAGGAATTTCAGGATCTGTGAGTGGCACTCGAGTGTTTTTTGGCTGCTTTGGTTTTCTCTCACATGCAAAGATTTAAGCTGAAGTATTTTGCGTCTTTTTTCATTTAACAAACATCCTCTTATTTACTTTCCAACGTTCTCTAATCCTCTGCGTGGCTTTCATTCGCTCTCTGGTTTCTATTTTTCACGCTTTGCTTTTGTCACATTTCCTTTATCTGCTTTCTTATTTTGTCTTCTTTCTGATTGTTTTTTAAATTCCTGTTATTTTGTTTCTTTTCTTTCCACTTGTAGCTCTCGCACAGTAGCACACAAACACAGTTTGCACTTGTTCCCCTCCTCTCAGGTATCTGGTGATGGAGCTAATGGATGCCAGCCTATGCCAGGTGATCCATATGGACCTAGACCACGAGAGGATGTCCTACCTGCTATACCAGATCCTTTGTGGAATCAGGCACCTGCACTCTGCTGGCATAATCCACAGGGTAAGTGCAAGCAGTAAATGTGTTGCTGGCTAAAAGAGTCAGTCTGAAAACACAGTAACTTAATACTTAAATAGCGCTTAAAAGTGTAACGTTTCCCATGTTGTGTCTGTAACCTGACAGCTCTTTAATATTTATTAATACATGAAAAAAATTGCATTTATTTAAACTTTTGCTTGTTTTGTGTATTTTAGCATTAGCCAATGAGTATATCTTTGATTCTGAAATAACATTATTCATTTTGTATTTAGATAATTCTTCCAAAGTTAACTTTATAAAGTGGTTAAAATGGTTGTATTACGTTTCCATCTGCTTGTCAACTTTAAGATTATTGTGCCTGTTTTCCTAAAGATTTATCGAATTTTTTTCCCCCCTTCAGGATCTGAAGCCCAGTAACATTGTGGTTAAGTCAGATTGCACACTAAAGATCTTGGACTTTGGCTTAGCTAGGACAGCCTGCACTAATTTCATGATGACCCCGTACGTGGTGACCAGATATTACCGTGCCCCGGAGGTCATTCTCGGTATGAAGTACAAGGAAAATGGTGAGTACAAACCAGCCTTAAAAAAATCTTTTAAACACTACTTGGTCAACATGTAACACTGCTCTCTTTCAGAATAATTATTTTCTAATAATCTGTTTAACATGACTTTATGTAGCGTGTCCGAAAATCATTTAACCCATCAGGACTATCAATACAAGCTGCTCCCTGGAGTTCTTCATGTTCTCGAAAAGCCAGGTTTTTTAAACTTTATGATTAATTTAATGCTCCCAAAAAAAAACCAAACAACAACACTCACTGAACACTTTATTAGATGCACCCTGCTGGTACTTGGTTGGTCTCCCTTCTACCTTCAGAACTGGGAAATTCCCAGCAGATCAGCAGCCCCAAAACCACGCCACCTTCAGAGTCGCTTAAATTGCCTTTCTTCTAGGGCTGGTTATCGTCACTGATTTCTAGGATCGATTCGAATCCGATTCACAAGGTCCCGAATCGATTTGAATCGGGGAAATTTTGCCTCAGACAGTCAGAAATATTATAATTCTGATCACTTATCAGTACATATCTATATTTTTATATCTATAAAAAGAAAGCTGACACTTGTGAGACTTTATCAAAGGTGTAAGCATCACAGCAGATTCCTTTGTGTCAAAGTAACTGAGGATAAAACACAGAAAAACATGAAGGCGGGTTTCCTGGTCTGGGTTTTTGTAGCAGATGACCTTAAAAATATTGTGCAGTAGATCAAAAACGAAGCAGAGCAAAGAGGTTTGATTAGAGACACAGCTAAGCATTTTGCAATTTTGCATAATTTTAAAAAGTTTAAATTTGTTCAGTATTGAACAGCAGAAATGAGGCTTTCTTGTCGGAAGTAAGTAAAAAAACAAAAACAAACGGCGACCGACACCGTAGACTGGTGGGTAATAACTAGGGGTGGGTTTTGGTTATCGATTTAGAGAGAGGGAGAGAGAGAGCTCTACATGAAGTGTGATTTTTTTTTTTTTTTTTTTTTATCATGGTGGAAGCAAAACAGCAAAAGTAAGAGGAAATTTGTGACGATGTTTATGTGAAGCGTAGTTTGGATCGTCTTTGGCTGCTGGTTCAGTCAATATTGTTTGGAGAGAGATAAAAGATGCAGCTTCAGAATCGAGCGCAAAAAGGACGTAAACCTAAAGCGCCCGCCGACGCTTCAAAATCAGTCTGCTTTCAGCCCCGACGGCGTGAGAAAGGCAACATCTCACTGATTCGGATGCGCCGGGTCTGCATTTTGTTTTTACATCTTTGTGCAGAATCCGTGTACCTGCTCTCATTTACTGTTTTAGCTGTTTGGTGGTTGTAGAAATTTTGTGAGGTTTAACCTGAGATTCTGGCGTTTCAGGCAAAATAAATTTATATTTAAAAATCGATTCAGGATTTTAATGAATCAATATCACGTTATCCAAGCCAGAATCGATTTTAATCGATAATCAAAACCCAGCCCTACTTTCTTCCCTATTCTGAATCTCACTATGATCTACAGCAGGTCATCTTGAGGCATGTCTGCATGACTAAATTGGGTTTCTGTCATGTGACTGGCTGATTGGGTATCTGCATTAGTGAGCAGTGAACAGGTGTGCCTAATAAAGTGAAAGGTGAGTGTATATTAGCAATGGTTCTCATGTACAAAGTGGAAACATTTAATGGTGATTTTGACTCATCATAGTAAGTTTGACTCTTGATATATTAGCATGATGTTAACAAATATGTTTACTATACCACCACTCTGCTGCAGTGGACCTGTGGTCAGTTGGCTGCATAATGGCTGAAATGATTTCTCACAAAGTCCTCTTTCCTGGAAAGGACTGTATCCTTTCTTGTTCATCTCACACAACAGTTGGTTGCAAAATGGAAGTAGTCCTTGAACTGCTCTTCAAAGAATGTAGCTAAGCTGTGAGACCAATCATATATAGGAGTGAAACCTGCCAAGAGTTTACATTTATGTAATGGCTGAGTGGACTTGGAGTAGATTCTCTGGAGATATTCTCAGAGAGAGAACTTTTAATTTTTAGTGAAGCTGAATTTCAGGGAAAAAGAGGAGCTGATGGGTATTTGCCCCTGACGACCACTGACAAGCAAGCAGTCGACTTGGAGAGTGAGAGAGAGAAACAAAATACAGCCTGTCCTGCTAAGTGCGTGCAATTACACACATGAAAAATGAGGGAGAGAGCAACAGCTGTGCAAACTGATAAGCCAGGCTGTGGAGAAAGGCGTGGAAAGCTGAGACTGACTCCGAGAGAAAGAAAAGCCTGAAGATGGCTATGATGAAAGCCTCAGGCCGCGACTCTGCTGGCAGATGCACCAAAACCGATGAGAGCTCGTGTTTCGCATTTTAAATGTTTCTCATTCAAATTTGAATCCATAGAGCATGATTTCCATCATTCTGTGTGTCACTTTATGTTACTATACATTCAGCGTGGATTGTATTATCTAGTTGATGTTATCTGGTCACTTTTAAGTTAATATCTCTTCTGTGTGGTTATGTGTGTGTGTTTGTGTGCATCTGTGCGTGCTTGTGCGTTTTCTGTTCCCAGTGGACATCTGGTCAGTGGGGTGTATCATGGGAGAGATGGTAAAGGGCAGCGTCATCTTCCAGGGCACTGATCGTATCCTTCGCAGCTCTCATCGTCTCTGTGCCAGTTGTTGTCCCTCCTCCTCCATCGTCATTCACACTCTATCAAATATTTCTAGTCTTGTGGGTCTCCCGGCACACTCGCATCTTCTCAGCTGTTGAATTTACGATTTACAAAACACTCGGGCTGAGTTTAAACTTAAAGTTTTGTGTTTTCTCTGCAGAGTCTAACTCATTATACACTGATAGGAAATATTTATTTTACAGATCACAACCCACTGATAATTTAGAGAAGTTTTTACTCCTAATACATCCATTATAGGTCAGGCTCTAATTCCCGTTTCTCTTCAATAAATATTAATCTCTCTTGTTACATATGTAAGCTGCCTCTTAGCTCCCAGCTTCCCCTTTGCATTCACACCCGACTAGCTGAGAATGGATGCTGGGCACAAGTGTGAGTCGATGATAGATTGCTTCCCATCCTTTGAAGTAATTGCCTTGAGCAGAAGTAAGTCAACAGACCGTGCACATCTGTATTTTTAGCCATGCTAAAATGGTTTTTCAGGTTGTAATACTGCTCTGTTCACTTAACAGAGTGGCTAAATTAACCTAAACTGAAATTGGCCAATATCCACCTGATGGATTTGGACAGATACCCATTGTTCCCAGATTAGGGACTTTTTATATGTTGCCATGATGTGGTTACATCTGTAGCTTCTCAATATGAATCATTGCTTTTGTAGTTATTTGACAGTAAATGACTCAGCATCTATTTGATGCATTTACATTTCTTTAGAGCACAAATTCTTGTTAATCTGAGTGTGAATGGTAATAATTGGTAATCCTGTAAGGTCAAAATTTTCATCTCTCCTATGCTTTGGTGAATTAAGGCTTACCTTTGCTAGCTTTCATACAAAATTATTTAGTGTACATGTCGGATCTATTCTGTACCTTTTCATCTGTTCTTTTCAATTTCAATTTCAATTTTATTTCTATAGCACATTTAAAAGTCACAGGTACATGCTTACATGTGCACAGGCCCATCAATTTACTGGAGATTTCCATAACAAGTGTGTTTTCTAGACATCGACCAGTGGAATAAGGTGATTGAGATTCTGGGCACACCCAGTCTAGAGTTTATGAACCGACTGATGGAGACTGTGAGGAACTATGTGATGAACAAGCCACAGTATCCTGGCGTCAGCTTTGCCGAGCTTTTCCCAGACTGGGCCTTCCCTTCTGAGTCAGAACATGACAAATTGAAGAGTAAGAATTTTTGATACTCTCTTTATGTAGAGTGTTATTTTTAGTATCCAATGATACTCCTGTACTGCATAGATTTAGTAAAACTCTGCGGTGTAATGTTGTCGTTTAAGAGGTCACATCATTAAATAAAACGGAACAAATCTTGACATTGACAGACATGTTGGCCAAACACCATCAGGGACAATATTGAATTGTCAAACAGAATACTTAAATTTAATGATGTCATAAGCCTGTTTCCATAGTAATCCTGCCCTTCCTGTGTTGTCATAACAGCAAGTCAAGCACGGGACTTGCTTTCCAAAATGCTAGTCATTGATCCCGAGTGCCGCATATCTGTAGAAGAAGCTCTTAATCACCCCTACATTCACGTGTGGTACGACCCGGCAGAGGCCGACGCGGTGAGCAAGCAGTTCCCCTCAATTTGTGGCAAACTTCATCAGTGCTGCGGCTGTGTGTGACATTTCCTTTTGTTTCACAGCCTCCTCCACAGATTTCTGACAAGCAGTTGGAAGAGAGAGAGCACACTATTGAGCAGTGGAAAGGTGGGATACACTGACCTCTAGAGAAGCAAACCAGCAGCGCACCATACCGGGCAACTGCTGTTCTACTGTTGCTGTTGCTTTTGTGTTGAACGTGCAGGCATGAGTGTGGTCACCACTGAAAGCCATTAACCTGTTCTGTTTCTCCACAGAACTTATTTATGAAGAGGTGATTGACTGGGAGGAGAGGAACAAGAATGGTTTAATGAAAGAAGATTGCTCAGGTACAAAGTTTTCCTCTATCAGCCCAAAATTGTTAGCATAAGCCCAAAGCTGCAGCCTCACTGGACGTGTCACTGTTTGAAAAACGCTTCACACTGACAGCTTCACCAAAACAAACACTCACTTTGATGTTCACAAGGCGCAAAAGGGTCCTAGAACAGTGTGTACATGTATGTGGATATATTTATTTATTTATTTATTTTTTTCGTTCACACACACATATGTCAGTATGCAGCAGTGGAAACAGTAGTTGTCCCTAAATATTGTCTTTCAGTACAATACTCTTAAAACAACTACGTATCTTAATGCCCTACTGTAGCTAAGGAGTCTGCTGGCATTCTCATGGGCCATAAGACGGGTATCCTTAAATGTGCCATTGTGGACACATGCACTCCGTTAGGTATACCTTGGTGGTACGTTGCCGGACTGCCTTTTTGTCTTCAGAACTGTCCTTAATTGTTCGTTGCATAAATTCAACAAGATGCTGGAAACATTTCTCAGGAATTGTGGTCCATATTGCTTTGATAGCCTCACACGGTTCCTGCAGATTTGTCGGCTGCATGTCCATGATGTGAGTCTCCCATTCCACCACATCTCGAAGAAGCTCTCCTGGATTGCGATCTGGCCCATTTGTGTAGACAGTTTGAATGCAGTGAACTTGCTGTCATGTTCAAGAAAGCAGCTCGAGATTGTTAGCAGAAGAAGCTAGTATAAGAGGGATACACTGGACATGGTCAGCAAGAGTCCTCAGGTAGCCTGTGATGTTTAAATAATGCTTAATTGGTACTAAGGTGCTCGACGTGTGCCAAGAATATATGCTCCAGACTATTACATCAAAAGTAGTAGCCTGACCTGTTGATGCAAGGCAGGATGCTTTCATGTTGTCGACGACAAATTCTGACTCTACCATCTAAATGTCACATTTTTCAAACCTGTGGTAAGCCCATGTTAATTGTAGCCTCAGTTGCTGCTTGCTGGATATTTCCTATTTTTCAAACCATTCTCTGTAAACCTTGGAGATGGTTGTGTAGGTCAGTAGTTTCTGAAACACTCAGACTACTCTGGCACCAATGATAATGCCACATTCAAAGTTACTTACATCATTTTTCTTTCCCATTCTGATTCTCCGTTTGAACTTCAGCAGGTTGTCTTGAGCATGTCTGCATGCCTAAATGCACTGAGTTGCTGTCATGCGATTGGCTGATTAGGTATTTGCATTATCAGTTTAACAGGTACAGTATACCTAATAGAGCGGCTGTGAGTGGATGTTCCAGTAACAATGTACTAGGAAGTGTAAATGTTGTTGCCATATGCAGCTAAATTTCCTGTTCTGTCTGTTGTTTTTGTGTTTAATGTGTCAGATGTGGTGTCAGGTTCGGCCTCCCAGTCCTCTTCAGCCAACGATATCTCGTCCATGTCCACAGAGCAAACCCTGGCCTCAGACACAGACAGCAGCAGCATCGACACACTGACAGGACCTCTGGACGAGAATCACTGAACACAGACATTTTCCACACATCTCTCTCTGTCTGCCTGCCTGCCATCTCCAGTTTTCGCTCTCCAAACATCAGTAGCCCTTTTCAGACATGGAATATGTAACATTGGTGAAGTCAGCAATCTGTTAAAGTGACAGCACAATCTTTCAGACATCGGTCAGTTTTACATCGGTGTTTTCATGGATTCAAACCAACAAACATGACATGCCTGAATACTGTCAGCATTGCCTTTAGTTAAGCGGAAACACATTCTTGAGCGAGTTGTTCTCAAACAGGGGTACTCTGTGCGTGCGTGCGCTGCTGAGAAAAACCTTCCCACACAGGCTCCAAAACAAATCTCTTTCTTCATGAGTGGGAATAATGAAAATGAGGAATGTTTTAATCTTATTGCAAACCAAGTTTATGAGCTAAAATGTTAATATGCACATATTTTATTGTTTAGGGCGTTCTCTTGTGAGCTGAGCAACTCACAAAGACGCGTTCGCGGCACACCTTTTGGTGTTCGTTACCGTTAATGTCCTGCATGCTCTTAGTCTTGTGCCGTGCTGGAAGTGTTACGTAACTGTTACGAGGTCTGACCCAGGAGATTTGCCATCACAGGTTTGAATACATGAAGCAAACATGTTCAGACACCGTCAGGAGAGGGTACATGTCTGAAAGGGGCTTAACAGCCATCATCATCCTTTCTTTTCTTTGTTTTTTAACTCCACATACACTTGTTCTGTCCCTTTATGTCTTTAGTTTTTTCTCTTTAGTCTCAATGGACAGGTTTATTTTTCTAATTTGTTACCCGCTCTGTCGTTGGAACTGCTGCCTGCAGGTAAAAGATACCTGTGCTCTCTGTTTTCTCCATTGTTTTACTTGATCACCTGCCTATATGCGGTATATGCATCCATATTGATTTGCCAGTAGTAGGTGGGGGAGTCGTTTGTTTTTGTACGCCTGTATTTTAAAAGTTTTATTTTTTTAGCAATTCGAGACCAGAGGTCATCGTCATGAAATCGGGGCAGGCAAGCATCCCACTGCGACCTGCTCTAGTGCATGTTACGCCACAAAGAACAAAAGCTTACCATAAACTGATGGCATCAATCGTGATCAAACACTGATCAAAAGTTTCATCAAAAGTATTGCAGATCTCTACAGCGGTGCGTTCTGCACAGTGTTTTTGTTTTTAATTGAATAATTAATTGGCTTGAGTGATGTTGGTTTTAAGCTTTTCCCCATGACAGCGAGGGGAAGCTGTGATTGCAGTGTTACTGTTTATTTCCCGATACAATGTACTGTATGTAAAGATGTCACTCATAGTGGCTGTAGACCCTTTCATTACAAATAGATAGGATGTGCTTGTTTGGTTAAGAAATTCAACATGTCTGTGGAGCTACATATATCTATATCTATATATATATATTGCAATCACCCTTATTTGACTTACGGTACTGACTATCAGTGTGTACATCAAAAAAAAGAAAAATCGTAATCCTGTACATCCGGAAGAGGCAAAACAAGATACTTGTATTTATTTTTGTGTGTTCTTGCAGAGTGTTGCACACAACCACAGTGACGCCCGTGGGAATTAAGCCTCTTGTCAAAACGTTTCATTGACAAATGTGTGGACTGCTCCCTTTTGTCTTTTTTTCTGTCTCTCTTTTTTTTTTTTTTTTTTTTAAACCATTCCATTAGTGCTGGAAAAGTTACACAATGAATCATGAAATCAGACGACACGTTTTAACCTGCATGAAGGCTTCACACCTGTAAGAAATTGTAGTTCTTGCTATACAAAGAAATGCATTCAAGAGCATTCTTTCACTCACAGTACGTTTCCGTTCTTAGTTCAGAAAGCTTTTAGAGTTAGGGAGCTGTTGTAGTTTTACGAGGGTTTGTTTTTTGTTGTTGTTGTTGTTTTGGGTTTTTTGGCCTTACATGTGTGTTGTATGTTTTATGAGAAAATGCTGTGCAGCACTCGTCCTTATTTTTCTCCTTTGGATAATCTGACCCAGCTGTCCAGGTTTTTTAAAAGTTCCCAGAGAGAAAGCAGACATGCTGTGGTTTAAGCGTGGGTGAGACTGTGGAGTCCTGAGTTCAACTGAAAGAAAGATAAACCTTGAAAATGGACTGTGCAGATACTGCGCCCCCCACTTTGTTCTTTTTTTTTTAAACTTTTTTTTCATAACTGATTGCACATGTGATGGACATGCAGAAAGAAGACACTATGGAGAACTTATGCACTATGTTGTACACAACCATGACCTTATTCTTTCAGTCATGCCTTAAATGACCTGAGGAGTGGCCATCCAACTCTCCAAATCTTAGCAGATAAGGACTGAGCATCACGTTGCTCAGGTTATCTCATGTGTTTCCTATGTTTTTAAAAGAAAATACTCCATTGTATACACTGTACATCTCGGTTTGTTCCTCCTTTTATTTCCAGAGATGTCCTCTGTGATTGCAATGACCACAATATGACCTTTTGGCCAACATCTTTTGCCCATACTCAGCTAATAAAGTGGACATCAGTGATTATTTTTCTTTCTTTGATGCTGTTTTGTGCAATTCTCAGATTCTTCATGAGGAAATGACTGTACATTGCTTTATTAGTGACATAGTGATAAAAGACCCTCGTTAGAGTGTAATGACCAGCTCATCTTGTGCATTTATTTCCTACTCTTTGCACTCACTGCTCGTATCATAAGCTTTCTCAAAAGCTCTGCACAATGTGTTCTGTTTTCTTTTCCTCGTTGTTGAGCTCTCCAAAGATGTCGAAAAACTGCTCCATCTCCCTCTGCATCGTGGTGTTGTGTGCTTCCGCGGCAGCCCGTGCCCGTTCAGATTCCACGATCTTCGCCTGCACAACCTGGTACCAGTGCCGCTGCTGTGCGAGGTTTGTTTTCAGACGAACTACCTCCATCTGTAGCTCTTCATTTCTCTGCTCCAGACTGATGACGTGAGGAGGAAAAGAGAAGCAATATTAAAGTTAAAAAGGATAAGAATAGTGTGAAGGATACAAATTTATTTTTAATTTATTTAAAAATGACAGGATGGATTACTGGATTGTTCCTTATATCAACAGCATCATTGCAGTCCTGTGTAAAAGTACACACATTTTAATATCCAAGGTAACCGGAGTGAAAATAAAAAACTTTTTAAATGATTTCCTTTAAGGGGAAAAACACTATCCAAACCTACTTGACCTTGTATGAAAAAGTAACACTGCCAGCTTATTAAATCATGACTTAACTATGATTAACCACACTTTCTGGGAAGCCCAATTCAGTTTCACAGGGCGCCTCCAGGCCTCATTGTTACCATATGTGTTAAACTAAGCAGTCACTTAAATAGAATCTGACAAACTGAAGTAGGCTAACTTGTTTCAAACAGTAATACATTTATTAAAAAAAAAAAAAAAGCCCAGCAAGAAAGGATTACAAAGCTGTTTTTGTGGCTTTGGGACTAGTGAACAACAGAGAGAGCCTTTATCCACAAATGGAGAAAACATGGAACAGTGATGGCTGACCTACCAAAGTTACTCCAAGAGTACCTCGGCGACATCTAAAGAACGGCAGGCATCACCTGCCTCCGTTAAAGTCAGAGTTCATGATTCAGCAATAAGAAAGAAACTGGGTAAAAATGGCCTCCATTGTAGAGTTCCAAGGAGAAACCCACTGCTGATCAGAAAGAAAAAGGCTTGTTTCACATTTGAAAAAACAGAACAAAAAACATCTTGATGATTTGTGAAAATATTCTGTGGACTGATGAGGCAAAGTTAAACTTTCTGCAAGGTTTGCATCCTGTTACATCTGTCAAAAAAAACGACAGCATTTCATAAAAGGAACGTCATATCGACAGTCCTACACGGTGGTGGTAGTGTCATGGTGTGGGGCTGTTTTGCTGCTTCAGCATCTGGATGACTTGCTGTAACTACTGAAAATCCGGAAGGAGAATGTCCGGCCATCCGTTCACACTTGGGTTATGCAGCATGATGATTAGCCAAAATGAATGAAGGTAGTGAAGTGGCCTAGTCAAAGTCCAGTTCTAAATCCAACTCGGATGCTTTGGCATGGCTTCAAACAGGCTGTCCATGCCTGAAAACCCTCCAGTGTGGCTGAATTAAAACAACTCTACAAAGAGGTGTGGATCAGAGTCGTCCACAGTGAAAGGCTCATTGCCAATTATTCCAAATGCTTAATTACAGTTCTTGCTCCAAAGGGTGGCACAACCAGTTATTAGGTTTAGGGAGCAATTGAGCTTTCTTTTTTCTTTTTACACAATTTTGGATAGCTTTTCCCCCCTTAATTAATAAAATGGTTATTTTAAAACTGCATTTTGTGTTTACCCTGGTTATTTTCATCTAATATTAAAATTTGCCTGATGCTCTGAAACATGCAACTGTGACTAATATGCAAAAAACGAAGAAATCAAGAAGGGGGTAAATCACAGCTGAACGGATAGTTCAAAAGCTTCGTGTGCAGAGTTAAAGCTGTCTTTTGTGACTTTTCGTACCATCCTTATTGAGCTAAAAGGATTGTCATCTCCACTACTACCAATGCATTACCTTACTCTGAGTGTTGGTCTATCTATATCAGTAATAAGTGAGGTATGTGTTGTGTCTAGGTCAGCAGCATGGCCCCTTAAATTAGCTCTCTTTCCACTGTCATGAGCTGGTCTATATGTCATGCACACGGGCTGTGCTTCTTTTTTTTTTTTTGCTGGCTAACTAGATGGCAACAAAAAAGCAGGTTTCTTCTTAATTTGCCAGTATTTTTCCACAAACATAGATGCACATCCATTTCCAGACTAAAAATCCCAAATCCCAACTTTGGTTATCCAAAATGCAGTTTCGTGTGTATACAAGCAGCATTTCCATCATAGCACATCATGAGGAGATCCGTGGGAAACTATGACAAAATTGAATCGGCTCTCGCTGATCTGTGAACCAAACAGGATGTAGGGTGAAGCTTGGAGTCAACTGAGGGACCACACCAGCACAGCTGAGTGGACACACGTACACACTTTCTTTGCCTGGGAACAGTGTGTTACCCTTCACTGAAAATACACCACAGGCTGGAAAATTCTTAAAGTCATTGAGCTGTAAGTGTATGCTAATATTAAAGCCAAAAGCATCACCACGTTACATTTTAAGACACTTCATATTGTTTCACATGGCATAATTAATCTTTGTTGGGGATTTATAAATAGAAAATGTAGGACAAAGAAAAACAAGCTGACGTTACCTGATTATCCGTGCTTCATATTCTTCTCTCTGCTTCATTATCTGGTGCTGCAGGCTGGTGAGGAGGCTGCGTAAAGCACTGGCAGAGGGGTCTGCCAGGGGTAATGGAGGGGGCACTCTGGGAGACGATGTCTGTTTTGGCTGTTTGACATCAGCCGGAGGCCACAGCGGTGGGTCGTGACACTTGGTTTGACGCATCTGAGTGGAATTTTGTGTAAGATGTGGAGGAAGCGACGTAGGGAGGTGGTGATGCTGCATCAGGTCCCCTTCTGTTAATCTACAGGATCCTGAGTCCAGCTCTAGCTCCGGTTCATGCTCCTCATCTTGGTCTGGTTTCTGGTCCTGGTTGCTAGAACATCTTTTACTGAGCATCTTTTCAGTCGCACAGTCGTCCTCCATCGATCCCTGGATTTGTTTGGATGCTACAGCTTTGTGCATCTGCTCCTGCAAGTGTTCCTGGAGGCTTGTTTCTGTGTCAAAGTCCTGGAGGCTGTTTGATGTTTCAGCATCAGGGAGATTATCATACAGAGACAGAGCGCTCCGGTGCTCCTCACTCTGTGATGGGCTTGGGCTTTGGTTCACATGAACTCCCCAGCTACACCCCTGTTCTCCTCCTCTGTCTCCTCCTCTTGCTGTGTTTATGCCTCTGCTTAGCTCTGCTTCCCAGGCCTGTCTTCCCAGGCCTTCTTTACAGTTGCAGTAGCTGTGAGCTGGCCAAATGCCAGGCCCTCTTCCCCCACCGACCACTGTCTGAACCTCAGCCACAGCTGGGGCCAGACCAGGCAGTGGGCTCTGGGGGCCTGGGAGTCTGGTTACAGCAGGGCACACAACTCCACTCTCCATTTCCTTCTCCCTGGCTCTCTCTCGCTGGCCAAAAGGTGGGCAGTTGTCGTACGGGGGATCCGTGGAGCAGGAGCTGGCTGTGGTGGGGGTATCAGTAGGAAGGCAGTGCAGCTCCATGATCCAAGCAGGCACATGGGGGTGCTGAGAGAGTTAGATAACTGCCCTCCCCTTTTAAGTCTGCTGTAACTTGGGATTAAAGGCTTGGATTGTGGATTTGTGAAGCGTGGTATGGAGCCTCCTCTGTGCCAAGTGCTGATGTGTCGCAGGGAGAGGAAGGTGCAGGAGCCCTACTCCCCTTTGGCTGGCTCTCTTTGACCGAGTAGCCAGTGTGGTCTGTGTGCATGTGTGTTCATATGTGTGTGTGTCTTTAAGCAGGACTGACATCAGCTGTTACTTTAGCACAGCTTCTGGGGGAGGGAAGAGGTTGTAATATAGTCCGGACCATTCCTGAAGACTGTCACAGATAACTGGGACCACAGAAATAGATGATGGCCATGGGCACAAAGTGTGAAACACTCTATGAAAGCTGTAATTGTTACACAATGTTTGTGCATTTAAAAAATATATAAACCACGAGGTTGAAATTTACTGGAATTACTTTGAATGCACTCATTCTGCATCACTACAAGTCCTAACCAGCCGCTTGTACTGCAAGCAAAAGCTCACAGCATGAACTCCTGAGGAGTTCATTAGTGAATAAAAACCACAAGGTGGCGCTACAGACAAGTTTTTTAACAGAGTGTTTTTCTGTCAGTGGGTGGCGTACCCTTGAGATCACTCAGGATATTATTTAGTAAGCTCCTAGATGCATGTGATTTAATTAGCTCCTCAAATAAACTGTTATTGTTATTCAGTTTCTTTTGTTGCCTCTCATGCACCTTCATTCACCTGAATATTACAAAAGTGGTCAAACGTTTAGTCTATAGGTGAATAGTCCTGATAATTTGGGGTTCTTAATGATTTCTTTGAATGGCTCTTATATAGAGGGTAACAGTTGTATAGTATACATCTTTGTTGACTTAAATAAAAAAGAGTAGAGTATATAAATTTGACTTTATTTTGGATTTTCACACCAGGCCAAATTATACACGCAGGCTCAAATGTATCCATACAATGTCCTGACTAATATTTGGTTAAACGTGCCTTATCAAGTTGCACCTCAACCAGACACTTCTGTTAGCCACTAACAAGCTTCTGGCTGGAGATTTTTGGGCACTTTTCTTGGCAAAAGTTCATTTAAGTTGTTTGGTCAGAGGGTTCCTTTGTAAGTGCGCATGCTGTAACCTATAATTTCCTTCGGGATTAATAAATAATTTCTGATTCTGATCTGAATCTGATCTGATTTGGTTGGTTTCCTGGCATGGCCCTGCCTTTTAAGCATAGTCCACAAATTGTAAGTAGTTTGGAGCTTTGGGAAAACCATTACAGAAGCATAATTTTAGCCTGCTTTATCCATTCCAAAAATCTGTTTTGATGTGTGTTTGGCATCATTGTCCTGTTGGAACACCCCGTTGTGTCCAAGTTTCAAACCATCTGCCTGTTGAATTGAATTGAACTTGAAGAATTAGGAGGCAGTCCTCTAAGAAGTGTGGAAAGAAAGCGAATCCTGAGTGTAAAATTGTGACCTTTGCCTGTTTCTGTGTGCTTTTTGGGAACCTTTGTTTTTAGAAGCTAATGAAACCAGATAATGCATACTGTCTCTGTGGCCCCTCCTCGGGAAACATTCATAGAAGCAGTTTCCTTTATTTTGTCTTTTAGTCACCCATCTATCAAAGAGTCAGACAACCTGAAGTGGCAGTTCTCTGTTTATTTTAACCACTTGTCCCACTGAGGACCGCTTCCTTTCTAGACCTTAAACAATTCCAAAAAATGTGTTTTATAAACTCGTCACAGGAGTGTCTCACAAATCAAGGATGCACCGCAAATGTATTCTCTGCACAGCCACATTAAACACTCAGTTGTCCATCAACACTGACAAAGCTCCACTTTTATCTGCCCTATGTAAATTACCCCACGCCCTTCAAGCCTGTGCAGACAGACTGGGGTATTTTCTGTTTGTAGTAGTGCACTTTTCTGCTTTACAAAAATCCTCCTTGTCAATCTTGAAGTTAAAGAGGGAATTGCTTTGAGATTTCAAAGCACCTCGAGTGGTCAACAAGACTAGAAAAGCACTGTATAAATGCAGTGCATTTACTATTGACAGATACAGGTAATGTGTTGTTGTAGTTGTGCTCAAGGTAAGACCAGAAAATACCCCACTGAGGCAAAGCAGCAGCAAGAAAACAAGCCAGACATTAACTGTAATCCCTCTCACATCCCTCTGAGGGTTTGCCCTGACCTTCATGCGTCATTGAATATAGGATGGCCAACCTCGCTGTCCCCCTCCTCGTGCTGAATGCTGTGACTTATCACAGCTTGATCTTCACCCTGCAGAGGTTAAGCTTCTTTCAAGTCCCCTTATCACCCTAGCCCACTGCGCTATTTCCATCCTTCTATACTTCCTGTACATCTGCGTAGTTGTTTGTAGCCATGACGACAGAATCCATGGCAACAAAGATCTCCCTGGTATTAAACTAAAGGTAGATGTATGAGGGGGGAGGAAAGGCGGTGGGGCTGTGAGGGTGTTTTAATAAGCGTCTGGATGGAGAGTAATTGAGAAGGGCCTTGTTAACAAGAGACGAGGTCTTCTGCTTAACAGGCAAAGCTTCTCCGAGCAACACATGCTGATGGCTGTAGAGAGGCACGTACACAACGCATCACAACGCATGATGAAATTCAGTTCGTGACTAAGTGCAAAACCAAGAAAAAGATAAAGGAAAGTGTGACTGTGAGAGTTCTGAAAAGGAGTGGGAGAAATCACACAGCAGCTTCGCGAGGGAAACAGATAAGAAAAAGGCAGGAAGGATTTGTCTGCAATGAGATGTTTTTGTCTGCATCCAGGTGTGTTTTGGCGAGATTAACATCCCTGCCTTTCCTTTTCTTTCATCTGCAGCCTCTCTGTGTGAAGCTTCTCTGCTACCTGAACAGGTTATGAACAGTTTCCTTGCAGTGTATGTAGACAGCCACGTGTGCACTTCAGCAGTCACTCCAGCAGCTCTCGCCAAGCCTCTCAAACATCAGTGCCACATCGAGTATAGTGCCAAAATATGTTGCCATGGGTTGGGGATGTTTTCAATTGGGTTTTGCATATTTATGTGTGTCATAATTGATGAATAGATTACATTAGCTCAGAAAAAATGGGCCTTATTCACACATTTAGAGATTGTCAGCAGGAAGCTGCCATACAAGATATTGATTGATCTGAAGAGATGGGTTTAGGATTTATGTATATGTACACACACATATGTATGTATATGTGTAAGTATATGCAGCTAGCTTCCTTTCTAGTAAAGTCAAATGTTTCTCTCAGTATTATTCAGCACATTTGCATATTAAACTGTATACAGCTCAGTCCATATTGTGTTGTACAAAGACTCAGTGCTCATAGCTTTACCTTTGTACACCTACACAGTGGATTTAAATCAAACCATGAAGATGTGATTGATGTGCAGACATTCATCTTTAATTCAAGGGCTTTTATAAACATTTTACATTTATACTCTGATTGAGAAGGTGTCTGCAGCCTGTGCAGTAAGTGGTGCAGAAGGTGAACAGGATTATCCATGATGGATACCAGTTTGTCCAGTGACCACCTCTTCACCACAGCTCAAAAGGGTCAGTGTCACAGAGCCGGCCTTCAGAATAGTTTTATCTAATCTGTTGGTGTCACCATCTCCAGTGCTGCTCCCCCAGCAGACCACAGCAAAGTACAATGACTGCTAGAAAATCTCCAAACTTTGCTGTACGCACTGAAAAAAATTCTGCTTCTTAAGCAAGAAATATACATATACAGCCTCCGTGTTGGTCATTCTGTTCAGTCTGCTGCTGGTCAGACCGGCTTCTTGCTTTTGAAGTCGATCACCATGTCACCATTCAGAAGCAGAAGATTCCTCGCAGACCCATCCACAAAAACATCCACTAGTGCTCTGTAATCCTCCTCCTGCCGATCACTTATACATCCACTGCAGAGTCCTCAGAATATTATTGTAGGTGATCTGAGGTGTACAAGGTAACCAGGAATGGAGACAGTACAACCACCTATAAAGTTTCTGTACTGCACATCACCAAATCAGACTGAGCTCTGCAAAGTGTGAAGACTCAAACCAGAAATGGTGAATGTTTCTTCAGCTTATATTTTCAAAGACAAGCATCCTCTGTTTGCAGTTTTTGTTGCACTTTTCACATTTTCACTATTCTGTGGGTGTTTTGTGTTTGCAGACGACCTGGCATCCTCCATGCAAATTACAAGTGGCTGAAACATCTTGCTAGCAATCTAATCAATCTCAAAGGGGCTTTTGTTGCAGCACTATAACCTCTTGGTAACCAGCTTCACCGAGCAACAGCCAGTACAGCCAATACACATGTTGCACATGCAAGAGGTCTCTAAATCTGAATGACTAAGATCTTATATGACTGAGGACCTATAAGGTTAGTGTCTTATAATCTTCAAAATATTTACAATTTTCCAGGATATGAGAAATTTTTAAAGTGGGGTTGGATCGAAAACCAGACATGAACCAGAGAAGTGCCGATGAAGAGGAAGACTGAGCTGAATGCATAGGCAATCTGAGGCACAAAAAACATCAGGTTAATAGATGCATGAAGAGGAATAAAGCTAATCATCTAACAGCTAAATTGCCACCGTAACCACTAAAAAGGTAGAAATGAATGTCTGGGACACATTTGGCCTTGACTGACAGCAATGACTCAAGGTAAGTCTGGTTGCCTCAAGTCAGCAACACATCTGCCTTATGTGGGCCATGTATAAGATGTGTTGTAACATTTGTACATCCTGCCCATGCACCATATGTTATTTGCAGCAGTCCATGTCAGCTCAGATATAGGACTTTTGGGCTACATCTAGTCCAGAGAACACATAATTGAGCCACAGTTACCAAAAGTAGACCCAAAATAAAGCTTTATATATCTAAGACAGACTAGAGTAGATACCTATACTTACAGATAGACTGTGGGTAGATATCTACCCTGACAGAAAGACAAAGGTAGATATCTACCCTAAAAGATAGATCAGGATAGATATACACCCTGAACTAAAGATCAGGTAGACAGCTAACCTGAAAAACAGACCAGAGTAGATATCTACCTTGAAAGACACATGAGAGTAGAGATATCTAACCTGACAGAAAGACAAAGGTAGACTTGTACTCTAAAAGACAGATCTGGGTAGATATCTAACCAGAAAAACAGACCTGAATAGATATCTACCCTGGAAGACAGATCAGGTACATATATAACCAGAAAGATAGACCGGAGCAGATATCTAGCTTGAAAGACAGATCAGAGTAGATATCCACCCTGAAAGTTAAACCAAGTTTTGCCATTTTTCAGATGAGTAGATAAAAGCCAGGTGTGTTGAATCAGTAAACC